GTCTCCGACGTCGTCTCATTTGATACTTACATTGACCGTTCGAAATACCTAGTAACTAGAGCCGAGTCATGATTAATTTGTAATCGGCTAAATCTTCTAATTTAATTAAATTAAATTCTTAAAAATATATGTTCCAGTTTTGACTGAGATTTAATTCAAGGCAGAAATTAGTTGTAGTGAGAAGATTGAAATATATTCTCTTGCTTATCCATAATAATAAATAATAATAAATAATAATCCATAATAATAAATAATAAATAATAAATAATAAATAATAAATAATAAATAATAAATAATAAATAATAAATAATAAATAATAAATAATAAATAATAAATAATAAATAATAAATAATAAATAATAAATAATAAATAATAAATAATAAATAATAAATAATAAATAATAAATAATAAATAATAAATAATAAATAATAAATAATAAATAATAAATAATAATAATAATAATAAATAATAAAATCCATAATAATAAATAATAAATAATAAATAGCGTTATGATAAGATATATTTTTATTAGAATATCATTTAAAATATTCAAATTCTAGAATTAATAATAATATATATAATAATTCAAGAATTAATATAATTCTATATAATAACTTATAGCTCGTGAATTATTATATGTATTAATAGACTAAATCTCGCTTTTTCTTCCTCTCTTTATCTATCTTGCTCGTACATCGATATAAATACTATTTTTCGATCCTACGTAGCTAGTTGAACTAGGGAGGATCCCGTATTTGCGCAACATCTACGACAATGTCACGCGTATATGTATAAAGCCCCGGAATAAACTTGCGAAAAAAGATTTATCGATATTCAACGGATAGGAGCAAAACTTTGTCTGAGAAAACAATCCGCTTGATCTCTGGTAAAGCCGTTATTTTTCGTTAACAGAAACACGAGTAAATATAGACGCTTAAATATTTTGGATAACTATGCGATCCTTTAAATCATAAAATTTTTTATTTCTTATTTAAAAAATATTTATGTTTAATAAAATAATATATATGAGAACAAAAACAAATTTTGAGAATAAAGTTGTATTAATTGTCCTAATTGAATAAATTAAAATAATGTTAAATTAAGAATTATAAAATATAACATGCGAAAGGTTTCTTTTCTTCCATCATTTACTGGATTACTTGATAATCAAACAAATCACACAAACAATAAGAAGAAATTTTAAATTAATTCTAATTTATTTTGTCCAATAAAACTTGCATAATTTAAAATTATTGATATAATCGTTTCTATAATTTTATTTAAGATGAAGCGAAACAAAAGAAAGTCGCACGATACGAAAATAAAATATTTTTGTGTTCAATGTCGACACGTTTTCTTCTTTAAAAATCGCGATTGCCAGCCAGAAACGGCGGCGGAGAAAGACAGAAAGATCTACCGTGGCAATAGCTGTAATAAAGCCGCAAGTTAATGTGCGACATACCGAAAAAAATGCGTTGCTTGCGAACCGCAAATTGCAGTCGGATGCATTTCGTGCACTCGCGCGCTTCTTATAAATTACTCTCATTGTCAGAATTCATTCAAAAAATATTGCCGAATGCATCGTCGAGGTAGTTGACTTTTCTCATAGTTTCATCCGAAGAAAACTAATTTAAAAATGATCATTTTAATTGATGGCTTTCATCGAGAATATTCAAATTGGAAATTTTGAAAGGAAATTAATTAGCAAAAACTGTATAAGATTTAATTCTATTTACAGATCCTTTCTCATTGTTTTATTTTAAAAAATGAATTTTATTCTATTTATTCATTTTATTCTATTTAGGAGAAAATTCTATTTATCACATACAATTGATTTGTTTTGATTTTATTATTAGTTGAATAATATTATTAAATAAAGCAAGCTTATAAAGTATACTATTTTAATATCTAAGTAAAAATTAAATTGCAAAAAATAAATAAAAATGCACTGCAAATCTATAAAACTTTTTATAGAGAAAAATTTTGTAGACTTTTTAAAAAAAATTTTTTAAAGGAAAATGTGTTATCTTTTTTTTGGAAAAATCATGTAAATATATGTACGATATAAAATCTAGATATATAAATCATCGTTCAATTTCATCACATGAAAAACGTTTTAGAACACCGAAAAAGGGTATCTCCCCTGAAAGAGGAATGCAATACCACTTTCGACGATGTCCCACGCATACAGATGGAGAAAAACTGAACAAAAAACTCAAGGATAAAACTACGACTAAGAAGTTACTCGAGAGAATACGCCGCAACAAGGAAAACTTTCCTGAATATATCTTTCATGCAGAGTAGAGAAATATTATATTTTTTGCTCCCAGCTCGTGTACTAATGTCTCGAAATGAAGTAAAAGGAAGCAGCGGCATATTTTGCATGGAACAAATATGACACGTATATCATTAATCAGAAGACAAATTTCGGGGAGCAAAATAATCTCGAATACCGAACATTATTGTTTTTTCAACGCTGGATAAAATATTAAATTTAATAATAATTAATTAATTTTAAATTTTATAATAAATATTAATATTATATCAGAAATCTTTTACATAAATACATAATAAATGTTTTGCATGGAACAAATACGACACGTATATCATTAATCGGAAGACAAATTTCGGGGAGCAAGATAATCTCGAATACCGAACATTATTGTTTTTTCGACGCTGGATAAAATATTAAATTTAATAATAATTAATTAATTTTAAATTTTATAATAAATATTAATATTATATCAGAAATCTTTTACATAAATACATAATAAATGTTTTGCATGGAACAAATATGACACGTATATCATTAGTCGGAAGACAAATTTTGGGGAGCAAGATAATCTCGAATACCGAACATTATTGTTTTTCGACGCTGGATAAAATATTAAATTTAATAATAATTAATTAATTTTAAATTTTATAATAAATATTATATCAGAAATCTTTTACATAAATACACAATAAATGTGTATAAAATAATGCGCAATATTATATCTTTACAAGTATAAAAAGTTATAGTAATAAAATAATGATATGATGAATATTTTATTAGATATATTATTATTTAATTAATTAATGATATTTAATAGGTAAATCGCTTCTCATCAAATTAGTGCATTAATATGTAATCCAGACAGGCGTTAAATGCGTATGTAGTGCAAGAGACACCTGATTACTGCGAGTGTTCTGGCCTGCAAATATCGCGCATGATGTTTCGTGCAAAATACGAAATTGCGCACGTTTCTGTTCGGATGCGCGCAAATACTCTTATTACGCAACATTATCAAAGAGGTGGCCAGCCATCTCGTTCCTAGACGTCGACACGTGCCAAGACCGAAAAGTAAAGAAAATATCCATCCGAGTCCATGCGAAAAACACCGGTACGCAAAACTTTCTCGCCTCCGACGACACATCTACTGGGGGAATTGCTTAAAAATAAATTTTCCGCCTGGCGAGAAATAGATCAGCCGAGGCAAATTAATTCTCAACTTTAAACGACACGCGAACAGTGACGATTTTACAGCTGTTAGAATTTATGGTGCCTTTAACTGATATCCAACATCTGAAACGCGAGATACAGCAGATCTTCGTGATTCTAATTTGCTCTAAACGTCAAAAAATATTAAATGAGACCCCCTACAGTTTTGCAAAAAATAACATTCGCACATATTAAATTTTATTCTTATGAGAAAAATTTTACCTGATTAAAATCGAGAAACTAAAGTTTCCCAAAAAATATATTTTATTTAAAAATAAAGAAAAATATATTTGATTTAAAAATAAAAAAAAATATCTAACTACTTCAAATATGTTGTGCCAAACGATTTGAAAAGAGATGTTTCAAATATTTAATATACATTGCGGAGATACAGAATTAAAATGAAATAAATATTCTTCTTTACAACTTGAAACATTAATATCGATGTAACATTTATTGTACCGTAAAATTTAAAAATAATTTTTTTTTTAATCTATAAGCGTTGAAAATCATGCAGACAATTCTAGTCGTTGGTGGTGAGAACGGCACGAAGCACGATCGCAAATTGAAACGATCGGAAATACGGGAAACCGTAATTGAATGCTAGATCGACGATGCAGAAATTAGGCAAATATAACACAATTACCGATGTGCACCTGCATCATGTATGTGCTGCCATAGGATCATTTCAAACGGATGTGAATGTCGCCAAAGCGATCAGTCGTGCGAGAACACAATTCAATCAATTCGCTTTACACGTGTACGTCTACTTTCATATTCTTACGAGCATGTCTGTATTTATATATGTGTGTCTGTGTGTTTATATATACACGTATATAAGTATAAATATGTTCATACATCGTATGTAATATGTATACACACATATAATATATATTTTATATAGATTTTATAAGTCTATAAATAGAAATTGTAAATAAATGGATAGAAATTGAGTATTGCAAATCATATAATCGCATTCTCATTAAATTTGTCATCATAGTTATCATATTTCTATCTTAAAATCTTCGGCAATTTCAGAGATTATTGAATAATTTAAAGCAATTGCTCTCTGACAAAAACTTTTAATTGCATCATTAATTCGTGCTAGAAACACTACACACTCAGAAAAAATAGTTATTTTATATTTATTTTTGCTTCTCTACTTTGCAAAATTATTTATAATAATTTAAATATCTGCCTGAATAATTCGGGCAATAAATGGGTGCAATAATGTAGAAAATAAGTCAACATTCTATAATAATATATTCCATATAATAAGTATTCTAATAATAATTATTCTAATAATAATATATTCTATAATAATTATCTATCAATAATTAATCGTTTATCAATAGTGAAATTATTCGCCCCTAATTAACATTTTAGTAACATGTTTTAATATTTGTTAATATTTTAAATAATATTTTTAATTTGTTAAGAATATTTTTAATAATATTTTTTAATATTTGTGAATATTCTTAGTAATATTTAGTAATATTTATTAATAACGAATACTTACATTTCTTTTATACATTCTACTAGTCAGGAGGAAATCAAAACTCGCTATCTGAAATCAAATACAATTAGAGTTAAGAATACTTATTACAATATCAAATATACAATATAAAATATAAATAAGAAAATGTTTATTGAATAAGGAACATAAAAAAATAATATCTAAATTATTACAAAGATTTTAGCAAAATACAAATATAAATCGATGCGTTGATTTTCGAAATATTCACAATTTATTCTCTTAAATAAGTATTCTCATACCGATTATGATCCAATTAACACGGAACCAGTTAGAAAAGTTCCTCAGGGTGGCTATGAATAACCCGATCGATGAATCAAATTGCTATTATCCGCCAAAAGAGATTCCGTCATGCAAAACGTATATTTCGTCGGTCTTAGCTTGGCGAACTTATGCGATTATCCGGCCAGGATTTCTGATTCGCACTGAACGTGAGAGACACCTTCAACGACTTTCCATAACGCTATCTACATAGCTATGTAGGGACGACCGTGTTTGTTTGCAATCAAGTTCGGCGCCCTCGAAAATTCCAGTGTAAACGTGTTATAGTGAACGACTGACAGTCATGTAACAACAACGCGATTTCTCGCTGCTGCTCGATAAACTAGCAACAATGAGTCTTCAATTCGCGGTCGTTGAAACTTTAAATTGCAACAACAATGAAAAACTGTCGGGCGACATTCGTGGCTTTCGGTAGCAAAAAAAAGCTCCGCTATCCCAGTGCATAAAATAAAAATAATATTAAAAATCCATATGAAGTCTTCGAGCATTCAGAAATATTTCATTATTTTTAAAAACGTGATTAAAAACATAAAAATTTGACGAAGCAATATCAATTTTTCTCTCAATTTTTTACTCATGATTTCAATTATTTCGGAGATATACATTCCTTTATTATCGCAGTGTTCTAGTACTTTACGTAAAAAAAGCTTCGATATCCCAGTGCATAAAATAAAAATAATATTGAAAATCCATATGAAGTCTTTGAGCATTCAGAAATATTTCATTATTTTTAAAAACGTGATTAAAAACATAGAAATTTGACGAAACAATATCAATTTTTCTCTCAATTTTTTACTCATGATTTTAATAATTTCGGAGACATACATTCCTTTATTATCGCAGTGTTTTAGTAATTTACGTTCATTTTACTCGAGCACAGCGACATAAATACAGTTTTGCTTTTTGTTTGTCAAATAGATGCAATACACATGTGTAATTTCCGCTTCCTTTTTAGTCTGCAGATCACCATCAGCGAAACTATCGCGATACAGGATTCGGATGGCAAAGCGGCTCGCGGTCCGTCGTAAAACAGCGATACACCGAAAAAGCATCTACGCTGAACTTTCTACGCGAAGACGATAAAGCTGATTCCGATTCTCTCTACAAAACGCGATAGAAGATAATTTACAAAGAGAAATACAGATCGAGGGATCGACGTTATGATACCCGGATTCCTTGGGGGATCTTCTGGCTTTGAAAGACAACACAAGAGGCGAGTCATCGAGTCGATATTTGACAACAAAGGTGGCAGCTAATTTCTTTCTTTGTAAAATTTTTCATGCGTTTGATATAGGAGACTCTGTCAGTTTTAAACTTTTGAACGTACTGCGAAAAACGTATGACTTTTCTCGATATTTTGATAAAATTATAATCATTCGGGAAGAGGAATGTTAACAGATGCATGTGAAATGGGGAGACTCGTATACACGCATGGCAAGAAAAATAAATCTTAGAAAGTACGTGAGCTGCAAGACGAATTGTAATTTTAAATCACATCTGTATTTTTTACAAAATATTCTACAAATTTTGAACAAATGAATTCATTTTAATTTTTTTATAAAACGTACTTTTTATTAAATATTATGAAAAAATTTTGTTAGAATTTTTTCTGAATTTGATATTTAATTTATTAGATTTAATTTATTAGATTTAATTTATTAGATTTAATTTATTAGACTTAATTTATTACATTCAATTATTTAATTTATTAGATTTAATTATTTAATTTATTAGATTCAATTATTTAATTTATTAGATTTAATTTATTAGATTCAATTATTTAATTTATTAGATTTAATTTATCAGATTTGCAAAATATATTCAATTAGTATATTATTGTCATCAATCACTTATTAAAGAAATACTTACATATTAACGAAAAAATGGCAATGTTTCAGCACACGGTAAAAAATATTTTGTTCTGTTAAAATTTTCTCGTGTAAAAATTTTTGTGTTAAATTTTTAACATACTTTTATGTTAATGTAACATATTATCGTTGCGTTATTTTGACATTTCTGCGTTGAGTTAATATTCACTGTTTCTAAGAGTTAAAACAACACAATTAATATGTAAATGCATGAATTTTTGATGAAATATGTTATATGTTAAAATGAACAGATAAGTTGTGTTATTTTTCTCTCTATAACAGTTTCTATATGTTAGATCGACATATCTTTTCTGTTATTTATCATAAAAATGTAAGAATAACTTTTCTTTTAATTAAATTTAACATTATAAATATGTTAATTTAACATAAACTTTATTTCCAGATAAAGTTTAAGCGTTACACTTTTGTGTTAATTTTTAAACATATTACTTGTGTTATTTATTTACATACTTGCCTTCTGTTAAATTAACATTAAAATTAGAGTTGATAAATTGGGACCTGTGAAATATGTTAAATTTAACACAAAATTTTTTACTTTGGCAGAATATTTAAGAAATTAGCTTAAGATCAAATGAACTTGAAACAGCCTAATAACGAAGAATTAATTAAAGCAAGAATTATACAAATAATTTGCAGCTGTTAAATTTGAGGAGCACGGAGATAGGACCAAAATTAAAACAAACTAGAGAAAAAAATAAAGAGAGACGAATGAAGACGCTTGCAAGAGTGAAAATGGTAACGTAAAGGATCATCGGAATCGAAGGGCAGTGCAAAACTGGGACGAAGTGATAGAGGATCGCGACACTGAACGATGAAAATGAACTCGACGACGACAATCGCTTTCGATTATTACGATGTTGACAAGTTCGCGCGGAACTTCAGCAACGACAGCAGCGGTGGGCCGTTGGAGTGCAATCAGGAGATTAATACCAATAGCCTCTCTAACTTCATCGTTTACGGTATATTCATCAATCTGATCGGTCTCTTCGGAATCTTCGGCAATGCAATCTCAATGATTATCCTGTCGCGGCCGCAAATGAAGTCATCCATCAATTATCTACTGATTGGACTGGCCAGGTGCGATACGATGCTGATTATCATCGCGGTAAGTGTATCTCTTTCTTAAATCTTCCATTTTTCCATCCTTTACATTTTCTGAGCGAGAATTAAATCCATTGAATTTTATCTTTATTGAAATTTAAAATTCTTTATAAAAACTTATAATTCTTTATAGAAACTTATAATCCTTGTAGAATTTAATCCTTATAGGAAAAGAGAAATTGGAACAAAATTCGAGAAATAAGAACAAAATTTAAAAAAAATAGAAATTATAATTCAAAAAACAAATAAAATATAATCTTTATAAAATTAATGAAACCAATAATGGTTTATTTATGCAAAATTTCATCTCTTGAAAATTAAGAAAATTGCAAAGTTATACGAAAAGAAGTACATTTCGTTTAACTTAAAAAATAATTTACAAGCTAACATTAACATAGAGTTACATTTTATATGGTAGAATTATATAATATCATAAAATAGCACAGAATATTACATTTCATGTAAAAGAAATGATCAAAGTTAATCTACTTGAGTGGTCGAGTTATTCCTTGCCTTCATTACGAAGAAATGATATGAAAGAAATAGTGTATTAAATGTGTATGCGTATTTCACTTTTTATGAGTTTTGTCTTAAAATAATGTTTTATTCGTTTAAGAGATAATAGATATTTACAAATTAAATATTTAAAAATGTCGACATTTTATATAGATTATTTGTCGTGCCATATATTTTTTAATTATTATTTTTTTAATATTGCTCTTTAAAAAGACAAATTAATATTTTTCAATCATTATATATGTAATATTAAAACATGTTTATTTATTTTGCGATATGCTATAAATATTTTATCAAATCCGGCTAATTATTAATTATTAATTTCTATTCTATTAATATAAATTTCTATTAATTTCTATTAATATAAATAATTAATGTAAATATTAATTAATATAATATATTAATTATAATGTATAATTAATATAATATATTAATTAATATAAATATTTGTATTGATATAAATGCAACATTTTCACATCTCATTCTATGTATTTTACTCATAAAACTTAAAAATATATCTTTTTTTAACGAAATTTTTCTACGATATACAAACTATGACGTTCCACACTCGGCCCATCAATCGGAAAATCAATGTTTAATTGGCGCACATGAGCAGATTTTCGATAGCATCGTGGAATGCCTCGTGATTGCAGCTAGATGACCCAACACGTTTGCTATCATCTGGCACTTGTCAATCAATCATTCGTATTCCATAGCTAAATAAAATTTTTCAAAAAAAATTCATCGTTTTGTATTGTTTTCAAGCCATTGATTTGTATTTTAAAGAGGGGTGACAAAATTTTATTATTTTCTATTAACAACAGCATTCGAAATGTCAAGAATAATCAGATTGAAAGCGAATCTTTTCAGCTATAACAGATTTAATTCTTTCAGTTTAATAGAGGATGTCTCAGAAAATCATCGCAAATAACCAGAGAGAAGTTATAAAAGGATATCGTTCAATGCGAAAACATTAATACTTTTAAAGTTATAAATAAAATAATTTTTATAAATACATGGCAAAACTTAGTTCATTTAATTTTGGATTAATCTTATTTTAGAAAAGAATTTTCATTTAAAAATTATTTACGAATAGTCGATGTTAAAAATTTGAAAAACTTAATATCCAACATAAAATTAATAGAATTCAATAAACTTATAAATCTAAAATAAATTAAAAATAAATTAAAAGGTTAAGAAAACCAGAAAATATAATTGACCGGTGCATCAAATTCTTAAAATAAACTTATTGAAAATACTGCAACTGTATAAATTTCTACAAATATCAATTTATATCCCGAAGGCGATTACAGAGAAGTGCAGAGAAAGAAAAAGAGATAGAGAAAGTTTATAGCTTTAAATTGCATTCGCGAAGAGAAAGAGAAATTTTTGTTTATTATTAAAATATAATCTCATAGAGTTTAATTAACGCCTTCTGTGCGACCACAGATTTTTATCAAGGTATTATTCCAATTGAGAATCTCCTTGCAATGCTTTTTGTTAGAGAAATTTAAAAAAACTGTCCTGTTTATCTACGTTATATAAATTTGGCGATTGATTAATGTTTGCCGGAATAATCAAAGGTCGAAAAAGATTAGTAGCGCGATGTTTAATAACGAGCGTTCGATATCGGAATTCAATTTTCATAAACCACATCAACCGCAGTGATTAAATGCAAACCTCTCATTTTAATTTTACTCTTGGTCTGTTTTACACGACCGTAAATTTGCAATATAGCCGGGCTTTTCATTAAAATAAATCCTCTTTATAATATAGATCTAGTATTCGTTCCAGTTTACCTCATATAATTTAAGCTATATCTTTAAACATGTAATTTATACTTTTATATTGGTTTTTTTATATATATATATTTGCCTCTTTTAATGTGCACATGTTGCCCCTATTTTATTTAACATGCACATATTTTATGTATGATCCTACAGATTCTGCGTAAACTCAAAAATGTAGAGGGAAAGAAGCTTGTTGTTATTAATAAATGTAGAAATAATCTCCATAACTTTTGTAATTTGCATATGTTTTTACATATTCTAAAAAAATGCATATATCCCGTCAGAATGGAATATAAATAAGTTAAATAAAAATGGAATATAAATAAGTTAAATAAAAATTATGATGGGTGTAAGTAATTACGATATACACATAATGTATAAATCAAAAAGTATCACACGAAATCTTTAAAAATATATTTTATGAGTCAAGTAAAAGGTCAAGAAAAAGTCACGACGCCCTCGTAAAAATACCGTTCGAGAAAGTTTATTTTCCAAATATATAATAGCGTTAAAATGCATTATGGAAATAATAATCGACCACGTCATAATATTACAGCTTTTTTTGCAAAATATAATATAAAGAATTGATATTTTAGTTTAAATTTATTTTTCATCCTTCATAATATTATAATATCCTTCATAATATATAAATTCGTGACTCGAAAGACGAGAGTTAATATCGTTGGAAATGCATCACGCGTATGTCCGCCAGAAATATTACAAAGATAATATGAACAACGCGTCAAGCTTATGCAAATAAATTCTAATATACAGTATTACCTTTTGTTTCCTAATCTCTGTGAATAAAGTTGAGATTAATAGCATTAAGCAGTAAAGATAAGCAAGAGCTTCGGTAAAAGAGATCGGTTGAGGAAGCTTGTACAAGATCCTGTATTAACTCTCTCAAGATTACATTACACAAAACCATCACGATTATTAATTAATCATGTAGAGCGATCTCTCTCTCTCTCTCTCTCTCTCTCTCTCTCTCTCTCTCTCTCTCTCTCTCTCTCTCTCTCTCTCTCTCTTTTTTTCTTTCTCTCTCATTAATGAACTATTTGCTCATTCATTGATCAAACGCTACGAGCAGAAAGGCGTCTATAAATATATCGCAATTTGCAATAAACAGCTAGAAAGATTTTCTTGCAAAAAAAGAATATGAATCTTAAAAATAATTATCGCGTAAAATGAAAAATGATTACGGAATAGAATTTTAAAAAATATCAAAATAAATGCTAACTTTTTTTGGAGCACACGATTAAAATTATAGAATCTTTGATAGCTCGCAACTTGAGGTAGATATAATGAAAATATAATGAATAGATTTATTTTTCGAATTAATTTTAATTTTTTAATTACTTCTGATTAATTGTTTTCTAATTATTGTAATTATTATTTAATTATTATATTATTATTGTAATTATTATTTACTGAAATATGCTAAAAGAAATTCGAATGAATGATTAAAAAGCTTGAACTCAAAAATTCTTATCGTTAGCAAATCATTATTAATAGCATGTAAAAATTATGCATTTGCAGGTATTGATTTATGGATTGCCGGCGATTAGCACGTACACTGGCCTACTATTCGATTATAAATTTATTATCTATCCGAAGATCATCAGGTACCTGTATCCGTTGGCTTGCATAGCGCAATTTGTGACGGTGTACTTGACGTTAACAGTGACTTTAGAAAGATACATCGCGGTCTGTCATCCGCTGAAAGCCAGATCCTTCTGCACTTATGGACGGGCACAAGTGGCAGTGGTGGTCATACTAATCTTCGCCTTTATTTACAATCTACCCAAGTGAGTAATAGGTGTAATTCAAACTTATATTACTACAGTTGTTTTCTTCAATAAAGAAAGATGTCAGATTAATAAAAGTGTAATAGAAGAAGAATTTAAAGATAAAATTTTATTTTTATTAAATTTTTGATTAATTTATCTTTTATATTATTTGGAATAGTATAATATAAAATAATTACGATGAAAATAACAGAAAAATAAGGCGAAACAAATAATTCCTAAACTTATCATATTTAATCGATTGTATAAAAATTATTATATAATTATTATATAATTATTACATTAAAATTACTATTATATAATTATTAAATTAAAATTACTAAATTATTATATAATTATTGTATAAATTATTATATAAATTATTATATAATTATTATTAAATTATTAAATTATTATAAAATTATTATTATATAATTATTATATAAATTATTATATAAAAATGCTAATTTACAAATTTGACTTAGATTCTGGGAAATCACAGTGTACGACGAGAGGCATTGGAAGTACAACATCACGGTGTACTGCGTCTTCCCGACCGACCTAAGAAGCAATGAGTATTATGTCACCTTGTACATCCATTGGATGTATTTCTTCATCTACTACATGTTTCCATTTATCGCGCTAGTGATTTTTAACATGGCCATTTATCAACGGGTGAGTAACGTGAGTAAAGTCTAACATTTAGAAATTGTGGATTATCTCGCTAAAATAAATATCGCGTCCAATAATATTTTACGGAAAAGAATATTTTATTCTATACATGTACCAGTTTACATTTAATATAATTTATTTTGAATATAAATTATATAAATGATGAACTAATTACGCAAAATAGATAACGCGACAAGAAGAGACCAAAGGAAATAGTTACTATTTGTAAAAATATTCAAAAAATATGTGTTTTTTTTTGCAAAAATATTCAAAATATTTAAAATATAGATTTATCGTCTTATACTCATCAAATTCTGAATCAGAGATAGCAAAAAACACTGATAAAATTTAGAATACGTGGTAAAGCCAAGGATTAAAGACGAAATATCGAACCACGCATCAGCGACACACACACACACAGCGAGCTTTTCCCAATGGAACTAATATTTTCCAGCTACCGTTCCGGTTTTATTAAAACTTCTTTTTAGAATTTGCAATAAGTCTCGTTAGAAAATAGAGAAAGAGACCTGATAGCTGTGTCGATACTGCAATAACTTTGTCGCGTAACGGGCCGTTTATAAAGTTACGAATAAAAATACGAATATATATTCCGGGCTGATGAAGCCTCAATAAAGTTATTCAGAACGTGTATAAGCTCCTTTTTGTGTGAGTGATACATATATTTAGAATTCGAGAGCTCGTATAAAGGCAACGAAATTCACAAACGGTTGCTCTGACACGTGCTACTTGTACAGATCGCATGACTGCAATATCATATATCCTCCTACGATAAAATGCGGGAGACATTTACAACCAAAAAAAAGTAATATGCAAATAAAATATTGTAAAATAATTTTGGAAGTGAAAAAATAATATATAAATATATGTATAATCAGATTAAAAATATACAAATTAAAATGAATGCAGTATACATATATATAATATTAATTATTTCAATATATTCTTTCGTGTATTCTTTTACTTTGTAATTATTTTAACAAAAAGTAATCAAAAAATTGGAAATTAATATAATTATTAATATATAATTAATTAATTTATATTAATATATATATTAATATATATATATTAATTAATTAATATATGTATAATATAATTATTAATATAACTAATAATTTAATAAATTAATTAATAAAGATATATTTATTAATTTATTAATAAATATATAAAAATTAAAAAATATATATCTTTTCTTGGAAATTAATATAACTAGTAATTTAATAAATAAGTTAATAAATATATATCTTTTCTCGATATAATTAGCTTTGCAGGAAAATAATGAGAATGGATTTTAATATATTAAAAATTAATAAATTGATTAATATGAAGATTATATTATTGCAATCTTAAATAGTAATTTATAAGATAAGAACGTCTTCCTGTGAAGTAGCTGATTTGCATTTTCAAACAATACCAAGATGTGTAATATAATCACGATAAGATTTAACCATAGGGTTGAATTAGATTCATATGACCCTCGAGGGTCTAAAATTACAAAGTAGCGGTTGTCGAAGGACAACAATTTCCCTTGGCTTTTCCTTATCGCGAGACTTTAGCGTTTGCAAACTCTGTCCTTAATTCCGGGCTTAGGATGTGATTTTCGATGGCGTACTCTTCAGGACTTCCGATGACTTTTCACATGGATGAACGAAAGGATTTCAATGAAAATATTCATGCAGCAAACAAGCAGGCAGTCGCCTAATCTCGGCTTGAAATTCCTACTTTCTCGAAATTAAAGTTTGTTAATGTTTCTCATCCTCGTGAAAAATTAAAAATAAATCATGCAAATAAAATAAAGAGTGGGCGCTTTTATTTTTATTTTACATCGAAAAAAAATATTAACGAATAAAAATATCAACGCATTTCTTTGTTTATATTCGCATATTGTGGAATTTAAACTTTTTTAATAATTCATTTTTATATTGTAATAACTCCGAACAAGGTAGAACCTTTCAAATTCAAAATCGACTGATGACTCTTGTCAAAAGAAAGAAAACCCATTATTATCCATTTTAGACGATATATATATATATATATATATATATATATATATATATTAATATATATTAATTAATTATATATTAATAATTAATTATATCAATTTCCAATTTTTTGGTTAATTAATTACAAAGTAGTTTTTGTTAAATTAATTACAAAGTGAAAGAATACACCAAAGAATATATTAAAATAATTAATATTATATATATGTATACTGCATTCGTTTTAATTTGTATATTTTTAATCTGATTATACATATATTTATATATTATTTTTTCACTTCAAAAATTATTTTGCAATATTTTATTTGCATATTACTTTTGGATGTAAATGTCTCCCGCATTTTACCGTAGGAGGATATATGATATATGGCTCAAACTCATCGAAGAACAAATGCATACGATCGAATGCCAAAGAAATTTCGCTCCGCTTTTATTTGTATAATCTGACATTTGTAAAAAGCTGCGATTTGCAAATCTCGACCCTCCATGTGTCTAATTTGTGAGTAATCATTCTATTAACAGTTTGCCGCACCTCGCATACAAAGAACGTATTCACCAAGTGAACCGAATGCCGTAATCCGAAGTAATTTGGCGACACGTGACACGCATAATAATCCGCCTCAAGCAACACAAAGTCTTAACAATAATTAGCTCTATCATTTTGTCGTCGTAATTGTTTTAGCGGACGACCACGTAACTTGCCCTTACGCTCTAGAAGCTGAAGTCACGAAACAGAGCTGACACGAAACTAAAATAAAAATAAAGCAGAAATTAATAAATTCATGAAGCAAAAAATTACGAGTTCCATGTTTGAATTTTTAAAATTTATTAAATTAAATTTATTAATAAATAAATACATTTGATAAATAAATAAATTTAATTTATTACTAAATTAAATGTATTTAATAAATTCAATTTATTAATAAATTAAATATATTTAATAAATTCAATTTATTAAATATGTGAATCCTCTCTTATATTGTTTTCTATTTTTCTTCTATTTTAATTCTTTCTCCGAGATTAATTAATTAGTTTTTCTTTCTTTAATAAAAATTGAGATTTTAAGCGATAAGCATGTTTTATTCTACAACAACATGGAATATATCTACTTTATTTCCATTATTATTACATACATAAGGATTATTATTACATACATACATATGGAATATATCTACTTTATTTCTATTATTATTACATACATAAGTTACCATTGACTTTGTGAATTATTTCTAAAATAATTACAAATAATTTAATGATATTATTAAACTTTCACGTGCAGCTTCCCAATTAATTCAAATTATGTTTAATATATCGAACTACATTAAAAACGAATAATTTATATATTAAAATCTATAAAATACACCATTATCTCGCAAAATCAATCATATATACATTTTAATTTATAAGTTAATCATGACATACATACACATGAACATTGTGGTTATATATATTTAATTTTAAAACAACTATAAATTCTTATATCGACAGTTTTTCGATTTCTCTTGTCATATCTATATAAGATAAACGATGCTGTTATTTTATCTTTTAAAAACTGACGCAAATAATAGAAACTCCAAAGAGATTAATCATTTTCATAAATGAAAAATTTTTAAATATTCCTCTTTCGTTCTATTTTATTCGATCGCGAGTAAAATATAGCAGCTTATCTGGCATTTACTCAGCGCTATCTTACGCATTTTCAAACATTGCGTAGGCGAATTTGGAAGCCACGAAACATTCGAGACGAAGAATGCGAAATATATAACAGACATAAAGAGCGGAAGTACTGAATTACATATGTAAATTGCAAACGTTCCTCCTTGACATTATCTATCTTTTGCTTGAGATTTATCGTTAAATATTATCGCACAGAAATGCCGGTGTTCATTCGTCAATCATAAGTATTGGTCGTTTTTGTAGAGAGAAAAAATAGATTCAATAGCAGTTTATTAATGTCGATTCTAAGAGTTCTTTCTGTCCAGACAAAACATTATTAATATCTCATAATATCTTACTAAAAACATGTTGTATATAATAAAGAATTATGACGCAAACATTGATCTTTTAAGATTCAAAATAAATATAAATAAAAATAAATTAATAAATTAATAAATAAAATAAATATAAATATAAATAAATTAATAAATTAATAAATTAAATAAATATAAACAAAAATAAATTAATAAATTAATAAATACAAATAAATTAACTATATCAACGTATATAAATATCATTGAAACGAGCAAATAAATATTAATCGCTTATTATATTTTAAATACGATTGTGATATATCTCAATATTATTATCACATAAAAATCGATCAAAGTCTGCGATTAAAATTGAAGGAGAATAAAGTTAAACATCTCACACAATAAATGTTATAAATATTTTATCTTATTAATTTGAAATCAAACAAATAATTTTGTCGGTAATATTTTAAAAATATTTCTATAGTTTAAAAAAAATATTTAATAACGGAATCTTGCAACCATCATTTTTTTTAATATTTAAGAACGTAATTTGTGTGTGTGTCAATCTAAAAATAATAATAAATATCTTCAAAGTATCGAAATGTTGTTGCATTAAAGATTTCATAGTAATTTTTCGGAGTTAAATCCAAGAGACAAAGAATTCGATTTTTCACAGCTTTCGTCGCGAAATACGACTTCATTGAAGAGCAATCGTAAATCTGAAGAAAGCAGGTCAGATGCAATTTAAAGCTACACCAAGGATCACTGTAAACACAATGTATCTCGCGTCGAATAACGATTCACTACAAAATGATTAACAACTTCAACATATCTGCGAAACTGTTTCTATTTTTTACAACAAGAGAGCTGTTAGAGCTAGTTAGTAGCTAGAATTTGCAGCAAGTCTTTCGCGACTCATTTTTGTTTCTTAATTTTGTCGCTATAAGAAATTTGTTCCCTCAAAAAATAATCTGAAAAATAATTATATCAATTTGTAAAAGACTTTGGCAATTTAAAAATTAATTGAGGATTATGATTATAAGATCTTTTTAAAATTCTAAACAAGCTTTTTTTATAATTTATAAAAACTTAACTATTTTTTATTAAAAATTAAGTTAAAAAGTATTCAATACAATTTATTCTAATGAAATATATTTATTAACTTTTTTTATTATTTCAATTTTTTCCCTAAGCTGAGGATATTTAGAAAATATAAATTATATTGATATACTTAATATAATTTTAATTAATTGATTTACATGGCTGTCATGTTTCTTTTTCTCCCATTTTTTGACGGTCTCTTCATCGTATCTTGATGGAATATAAACCTGCTCATTAACCTTTTCGTCAGTTCTGTAAATTGTGTTTTTTTAAGAACACTAATTAATCTTTTTTTTCATATTCGGAAGATGAGATCTTTTATTTATCAGTTGTGTATTATTACATAAAGCAACACTCATGAAAATTTAATATTAAAAAATTATTTATGTGGCAAAAATGTTATGTGCAAAAATTTAAATCTTATACCGCAACTATGTTAATACAAAAATTTCCTTGAATGAGCGAATATACCATTATAATTTTCATTACAGAATCATTATTAGCAATTATTAAATATTTATTTTTCTTTCTTTATTTCATCATATAAAAGATAATAAAATATTTATTATCAAAGATAGATATAAACATAGATAAACGATTCTTTCATAATATTAATAAGTCAATAAATTAAATTACGAGATGATACATTAAATCTTTCATAGGAATATAAAATCATAGAAATATAAGATATATTTATTAATTATTTTAATTACATTGTTTTTCTTCAAAATAAGAAGTGTATTTAAATTAACTTTGTTATATTTTATCTTCTGGAAATTCATAATCAAATATAAATCAAATTTAAATTAAAATTAATTTAGTAATAATTAACTAAATAATTAACTAAATAAATGATTTATTTAACATTCATTTAACACTCATTAAATGTTCTTTTTCATTCATTTTGCTCGCATGTAATTTGTACAAATATTTTATATATATATATAAAATCACAAATTAAACTAAAGTCATTAAATAGAGATTTTTTTTTTAATTTGCGCATTAAATTTATATTCCTCTTTGATTAATTTTTTTTAAATAATTAACTTTTTTTATATAATAATATATATGTATCTATAATACTTTACATAGTATTTTATTATGTATCTAAAAGAGGCAAATCACAAAACAATAAATTGGAAAAATATGCAAATTTATACAATCATAGAATCAACCATGCGAATCGCAGCGTAACATTTTTCCACTTTAAAAATATATACGCAAAAAAATAGAAAAATATCTTTTTTGATATACATTTTATGTTTTAAAAATATATTTTATTTATTCGATAATATTAATGTTGCCATAATATTAATTTATAATTAATTTTTAATATTATTATTATATAATATTATAATTAATTTTTAATATTTTTTAATATTAACTTTTAATTGAACCATAAGAATGAAAAAAAAAACTTAATTCTCCGTAATCTTAGTCTTGAAAAAACTTATCGATATCTCTCAATATATTTTTGGACTTTTCATTTTTCAGGTCAGGAAAGCGAACAGAGACTTGCAACAACTATCGCGTCATCAACGTCGCGAAATCGGCCTAGCGACGATGCTCCTGTGCGTGGTGGTGGTGTTTCTGATCTGCAACATTTTACCCCTAGTTTCGAACGCGCACGAAACGTTCATCGCGGAACCGCCGCCGTGGATGGTGCAGTTTGGCAACTTGCTGGTGACCATTAACAGCAGCATCAACTTCATCATCTACGTGATCTTCGGTCGGAAATTCAAGAGGATATTCCTTAAACTCTTCTGCTCGTCTAGGCTGTTCGTACCTGGACGGGATAGTCCGGAATTTCAGACGTACGACGAATCGATTATCACCAATACGACAAACCTCGAGCTGAGAAACTCGGTCAGGCACGGTCATCTCAATCGCGCCAACACCATTAGCTGGAACAACAACATTCACGTATCCAACGGCAGCACCAGACAGAGCCTGAAAAGTGGTAGACCGGCTAGTCCCGGTTCCTGCGTCTATTATCCGGCCAGGACACCAGCGAGGAGTCCCAGTCAAATGTCGAGGGCGTCGGACGGTCGAAACAGTTGGAATAGAAGGGAGAATGGCGATTCCACACTGTAGTAGACATTATTCCTCGCGTTTATCTATAATTAAATATTTTAATCAAATTTTACAAACTTCCACTGGTCAGAAATAGTAGGAAAGAAAAACAAATGATTCTAATGAATGACAAATACAGATCACATTAAAATTGGAGAGACATAAAGATGACTTTTCATTAACTTTTATATTTGTTATCTTGCTAAAATGGAATTTAGTTCAATGTTTTAACTTATTGAGGATTAATCAAAATTAATGAAACAAAAAAATTATAGTACATCGCATTTTTCGATTTATGATTTGATTAATAATTCAATTAAAATTCCTATTAAAATGTCAAAAAGGATCACAGCGATGTACGAAATAATCAGTTTGCCACTCTGTGCTATTTATTGTATTATACAGAGTAGGCTATTTTAATCTACGCACTGAAATATCTCAAAATCCATAAGTTTAAGACAAAAATGTTTCAGACAAAAGTTGTATGATTTCGAGGGGGGGTACCATAAGAGGGTACCATTAGTTTAACCTTGAAGAATCAGTTGAGAATACCATTAGTTTAACCTTGAAGAATCAGTTGAAAGTCACGTGAGAATCATCTCCAACTTTTTACATAAAACTGCCTACTTTTTCTTACATATTCTTGTAGCTTATCTCGAAAGCTTTCTAAAACACTATAATTAAATTAGTTTTCATTAAGTACCTTACGAGTTCATTAAGTACCTTACGAGTTAATTTGCAATTAACGATTACATATTTTTTCTTAAAAACAACTGTGTTTTCTTTACACCAATTGATTCCTCTCATTATTTTGTACATAAAAGTATTAAAATAAGATAATCGAAAAATGAATATTTTTCTAGATATTTTATGGTTTATGTAAAATTAAGAAATAATTTCAAGCCTCATAATTCGGAATGTACTTAATGAAAACTAATTTAATTATAGTGTTTTGGAAAGCTCTCGGGATAAGCTACAAGAATATATAATAAAAAGTAGGCGGTTCCATTTAAAAAGTTGGAGGTGATCTTCATGTGACCTTGAGGTAACTCTTCAAGATCAAACCAATGATACCCTCACATGGCCCCCTCGGAACCATACAACTTTTGTCTGAAACATTTTTGTCTTAAACTTATAGATTTTGAGATATTTCAGCGCATAGATTAAAATGACCTACACTATATATTAAACTTATTTTGTCGGAATTAAAGCAAGAAGAGACGCGGAGGAAATTGAATGATCAACAGATAATTATTTTATTTAAAAAGAGTCAACAATCTGATCATTTTTTTATCTTATTATCCAGTCAGGAATGCGAAGAATCTTAATTTTTTCAAGACAATTCCAAACTAAAAAAGATAGATAAAAATAATAACCCATTTATTATAGCGAATAATCAATATAAAAAAATTGTCATATACCTGAAGTCATCTTAGTAGTTTCGAATTTATATTCAGGACATCCAGTCCTCAAGACGAAATAGAACAATGTAAAAATGAGATGACGATTTCCGCGATGGACAGTCGATATTATTCTCTCGAGAACAGATCCTCCCAGATCCTCTCGGACCGATCCTCCCGTTCATGTTCGAATGCTGTAATCCCACAGGATTGCACAACTTCGATATAAGAAAAAAGGTCGTTAAGACAGTCTTCTATCACGGGAGAGCTTAGAAAGAGGACTTCTTGCAACGATGACCTTTCAAGTGATTCCGAGTTCCATATTGCCTCAGACGATTTAATTGAACGAAAGAAACTGATGCTATAAGTCTCGATGCAGCATCTCTCCTGAATAATACCTTGAAAAGACAAACTTCAACTAGAATTATTCTAAATAAATAATTATGCTCGTAATCGTGAATTTTTTTTTCCAATTAGGAATATACAGGGTGTCCCAAAAGTCCCAGTCTGGTCGAATATTTCGTAAACTATGCACTTTAGAAAGAAATGTTTCAGACAAAAATTGTATGGCTTGAAGGGACCATCAGATAGTGGCAATGATTTGACATGGGAGAGTCATTTGAAAGACACGTGAAGATTACCGTCAATTTCTTAAATGGAACTCCCTATTTTTTATTAAATATTCTGATACCTCACGTCGAGAGCTTTCCAAAACACTATAATTAAGTTAATTTTCATTAAGTACTTTCCGAATTATGAGGCTTGAAATCATTTCTTAATTTTACATAAACCGTAAAATATCTTGTAAAATATTCATTTTTCGATTATCTTACCTTAATACTTTTATGTACAAAATAATGAGAAGAATCAATTGGTATAAAGAAAAAACATAGTTGTTTTTAAGAAAAAAATATATAATTTGCAATTAACAATTACATATTTTTTTTAAAACAATTATGTGTTTTTTTTACACCAATTGATTCCTCTCATTATTTTGTACATAAAAGTATTAAGGTAAGATAATCGAAAAATGAATATTAAGAAATGATTTCAAGTCTCATAACTCGAAAAGTACTCAATGAAGAAATATTTATTATAGTGTTTTGGAAAGCCCTCGAGTTAAGCTACACGAATATGTAATAAAAAATAGGGGATTCTATTTAAGAAATTGAAGGTGGCCTTTACGTCACCTTCAACTCTCCAAGGTCAAATCATTGCCACTATCTGATGGCCCCCTTCAAGCCATACAACTTTTGTCTGAAACATTTCTTTCTAACGTGCATAATTTATGAAATATTCGATCGGTCCGGGACTTTTGGGACACCCTGTATAGCGACATCAACTTTTAATCGATGTGAAACAATAGAAAATTCTTCCTCTTTCTGTGATAAAAAATTGGCATTACATAATAAGCGTATGAAAAAGATATTAAAATTGAATCCTTAAAAACTTTGTTGCGAAAAAAATCTAAATTTTTATTTAAATATCTCGTAAATTTTTATTTAAATAGCACATATTGTAAATGGAGAATAGTATCTTCAAGTATCTGTAAATAAAATAAACATAGATAACGAAAAGCTTTCAAGATCGAGAGGTTCAACTTCATTTGGAAAAGTGCTTTACGAAAGAAGTTAAAAAATAATTCGCTAACACGGATCGGCAAGGAAGTTTCACGTTCTGTGAACTTTCTAGCGAGTTGATCACACACTTAGCTCTCCTGAGGAAATAAATCGGATTTCATCAAAGTCAAAAGTACAGAAGCCAAGAATGCAACATTCCCGCGGGAGACTTTTATAGAAGGGAAAAGATCTTGTGGATCCTCTGCGTTTTCTCTCAAACTATTCTCTCTTCAAAACTTGCATACTGATCAGCCTCGAGAGACATTAGCTGACAAAGGAGAGAGATTCCAGTTTCCATTATCATAAGATCAATAATAGCCGCTATTGCTCTAAAAGAGAGAAAAAAATTCCCTGACATGATAAAAAGATTAAAAATACGTCGCAATCTTCTGGACGTCTTTTGATCATAGTTTAAAATTTGATATAATTTATAAAAGATATCTTTCTTAAAAACTTTCTATAACAATCGGTAAAGATATAATAAAAAGTAAATTCACAAAGAGAACTTCCAATATTTTTCTAAATTTATCTTCACGGAGCAGAAGCTCAACACGATCATACTGTAAATATTTCTTTTTATTTAAGAATGTAAATTTTTAAAAGAAAGAGGACAAGACGAAGCAAAATGAAAAAAAATGAAAATATACTCAAATGCCAAAGAAATATTAAATACTAAATTGTTATAGACATTATTCAATATATAAACGTTAACTTTCACAAACATATAATATCCGCACTGAAAAAGTAACATAGGCGAGCGGAAATAAGTATATGTATATTGAAAAAAAAATTAGAATTACAAAAATTAGACATTAATCTAAGAGAATTGTAAATATATATATTTCTATTTATAAATTATTAAGTAATATCTATATATGCCGATTAATACCTTCTCCTTCCTGCTATACAAATTATTTATTTAATAGCTTATATCAATGCTTTTAATTCGATAAAAAAAAAATATCAATAATGTCAACTAGATAATAAGATAGACTGTCCAATTTGGCGTTTCTATCTAAATAATTTAGTTCTCGAATAACTATAAGATATATTGAAATTTATCTTAATGATTTCAGATGTAGAGATATTCTTATTAAAAGAACAGAGGAAGGAGAAATTAGATTTAAGGACAGAGGGAAACAAAACGCTCTCGTAGTTATACGAAAAACAGAGATTCGCCATTCTAGTCATGGAATTTCTATTGAACTCATCTAAATATACTCGTATACTAATATATATATATATATATATATATATATATATATATATATATATATATAAAATGAGACTGTATATATTATGTCAATCTATGCTGTTTATCTTATCCCACCGCTGTCTTGATATTCTTGTAAATACAAGTTGTAGAAACCATTAAGTAACAATGAAGAATAGCTGAAAAGGAAGCACTAATTCGATTATAAAAGTAAAGGACATGAAAAAAAATTGCACTACTAAAATTTATTCTACAATATTTCCCAATTCCTAAATAAAAAGTATGATCTTAAATGCCTTCTTGTTATCTTTTTACATATTTAATGATAAATAAAAATTAAAAAAAGAATTAATTCTCTGTGTACAAAAATTGAAAGTTTTTGTAAATTCCAAAAATTCTTTCACACATTGGAATCAATATTGAAATTATTGAATTAGAGCTTTATTCCAGCTGGCATTTTCTTATCACTGCTAAGGCACATCGTACAAATTGTTTCCACGTATTATTATTATTAGTTACTCTTTATTCTTAATTTAATGCAGCTAGACATTAGTTTCGTCAATCGTGTACTTTTTCTCTACGACTCAAATGTGCTTTAAATAAATTTTATTGTACATAAAATAAATTCAATTAATCAAAACATGAATTATAAATATACACAACCCTCGATAACAAATAAAAATACTTCATATGACGGAGATGTAGCCTTAACATGAATAAATATCGTTAAGAAAGTTTCTGCAGTTGAAATATATTTTGAAATATCTATATCTGTAATCTCTTGAAATATTGAGTAAAGCAAGATGATAAATTACACACATTTTTTTAAATATCAATTGGAGGAGCACAAAACGTAATGAAATATATCCATGGAACTTCAATATATTATTCAACCATCAGTACACAGTTCTGTCAATAATTTCATGATTTCTTTATACTTTTTTGTCTCTTTTCCATTTTATATTTTATACTTTTGCAACAATGAAGAATAGTTGAAAAGGAAGCACTAATTCGATTATAAAAGTAAAGGAGATGAAAAATATTTGCTAAAATTTATTCTACAATGTTTTCCAATTCCTAAATAAAGAGTATGATTTTAAATGCTTTCTTGTTATCTTTTTACATATTTAATGATATCCGATAAATAAAAATTCAAAAAAGAATTAATTCTCTGTGTACAAAAATTGAAAGAAGTTTTTGTAAAGTCCAAAAATTCTTTCACACATTGGAATATTGTAATTATTGAATTAAAACTTTATTCCAGCTGGCATTTTCTCATCACTGATAAGGCACATTGTACAAATTGTTTCCACGTATTATTATTATTAGTTACTCTTTATTCTTAATTTAATGCAGCTAGACATTAGTTTCGTCAATCGTGTAAATGTACTTTTTCTCTACGACTCAAATGTGCTTTAAATAAATTTTATTGTACATAAAATAAATTGAATTAATCAAAACATGAATTATAAATATACACAACCCTCGGTAACAAATAAAAATACTTCATATGACGGAGATGTAGCCTTAACATGAATAAATATCGTTAAGAAAGTTTCTGCAGTTGAAATATATTCTGAAATATCTATATCTGTAATCTCTTGAAATATTGAGTAAGGCAAGATGATAAATTACACACAATTTTTTAAATATCAATTGGAGGAGCACAAAACGTAATGAAATATATCCATGGAACTTCAATATATTATTCAACTATCAGTACACAGTTCTGTCAATAATTTCATGGTTTCTTTATACTTTTTTGTCTCTTTTCCATTTTATATTTTATACTTTTGCAACAATGAAGAATAGCTGAAAAGGAAACACTAATTCGATTATAAAAGTAAAGGAGATGAAAAATATTTGCACTAAAATTTATTCTACAATGTTTTCCAATTCCTAAATAAAGAGTATGATTTTAAATGCTTTCTTGTTATCTTTTTACATATTTAATGATATCCGATAAATAAAAATTCAAAAAAGAATTAATTCTCTGTGTACAAAAATTGAAAGAAGTTTTTGTAAAGTCCAAAAATTCTTTCACACATTGGAATATTGTAATTATTGAATTAGAACTTTATTCCAGCTGGCATTTTCTCATCACTGATAAGGCACATTGTACAAATTGTTTCCATGTATTATTATTATTAGTTACTCTTTATTCTTAATTTAATGCAGCTAGACATTAGTTTCGTCAATCGTGTAAATGTACTTTTTCTCTACGACTCAAATGTGCTTTAAATAAATTTTAATGTACATAAAATAAATTCAATTAATCAAAACATGAATTATAAATATACACAACCCTCGGTAACAAATAAAAATACTTCATATGACGGAGATGTAGCCTTAACATAAATAAATATCGTTAAGAAAGTTTCTGCAGTTGAAATATATTCTGAAATATCTATATCTGTAATCTCTTGAAATATTGAGTAAGGCAAGATGATAAATTACACACAATTTTTTAAATATCAATTGGAGGAGCACAAAACGTAATGAAATATATCCATGGAACTTCAATATATTATTCAACCATCAGTACACAGTTCTGTCAATAATTTCATGGTTTCTTTATACTTTTTTATCTCTTTTCCATTTTACATTTTATACTTTAGCAAAAAGTTATTGAACAGATGTGAAACTGCTTTTTTTTTTTCTTTTTAATATGATTGTAAACTGTGACATATATATCACATATTATATTGATTATATCACATGTATGACATTTATAAATTAATGGTTACCTGGTAACATACCATCAATAAACAAAAAAGGATCTACAAAAGATCAGTTAACTATTTATTTGAAGAATTTAAAGGTGATATACGACACAATGTGTATCGTATTACATAATGTAATGTAACTACGGCCTCATTCACGAATTACGTCTTTTTGCTCTTCGGCTTCAGGTAGAAGAACAAAGCGATCGTTCCTATAGCAAGGTACGTCGCCTTCGACACCTGAAAAAATTTTTTTTTTATTTTATCGAACATTCAAAAATTCCTTTCAAGGTAAACGAAAGCTTTGTCGACCATTTCGAGGTTATTTCGAGGTTAAATTACTCACGTTCGCTCGACCATACATGGTCTGGCTGTTGAAATGTTTCGCTAAACCAGTAAGCTTCTCCTCGCCTTCAGCCATTTTTTCACGATGAAAAATTCAGGCAATCGCAAAAATTCTGATGACACAAAAGAACAACAAGACGTCGCCAATTCGCGAATCTACTTATGTCTCGGTTACGATCATCTGCTCGTGGACGCCATGCTCGAAATATCGAAGATAAATCGCGAGATATCGCGAGAAACTTCCTGTTTTTGAAAGGTATTTTTTTATATCCGAAATTTTGTTTTACAATATTAATAATTCTCGAATATTTTTCGAATTTTTAAATATATTCCATATATTATTTACATCATATATAAATATTTATATAATTTTAATATCTTTATTTTAATTATATAAATTAATAATTTTTAATTATAAGTAATAATAATTATTAATTATAAGTATACATTTTAATATAAATAATAATTTTATATAATATATAAATTAATAAAAAATAAATTTAATTATACAAATATATAAATATCTTAATTATTTATGTAATATTTATATAATTTTTAGTATTTTAATTCTTAATATTTTATATAATTTGTCTTAAAATTATTTAGCAGTGATTACTTCTTTAAATTGCAAGAAATACTATACTTACAAAAATTATTCTTGGCATAATTATTATGAAATTTTCATTTTTTTCCAGCTTGAAGAAAAACTGGAATATATACATTTGAGAAAGGCACTGTTAATATTAAGAATACTTGATATGGGTGAGTAAATCAACGCAGATTCTTTTTTCATTTGATGCGGTTTAACAGTCTTATATTCGTTCATATATTCTCTCATTTAAAAAAATTGATTACAAAAATATTTCTTAACAATATTATAGTATAGTATTTAAGACTAGTTGTACTTAGTCAAGAAATGATTAGAATGAGAGAAAAATTCATGAAAGAATTTAATAATAATTCACTAAGAAATTATATATGTTATTAGAAATAATAGTATGATAAATGAAATTATAATCTCAGAACACTTCATATTTCCATGCTCAGTTACTTAAGCAATACTTAAATAATACATCTGAATCAGCGTTTTAAAAAACTGAAAATCCCTGATAACTTAAACATAATTGTCACCTATTTTTGTTATAAACATCAAAAAAATAAAATTATTTATATACTTATACAAAGAGATTATATATTTATACAAAGAGGAACTTTTATCAGTCACAGGTGTAAATTTAACAATAAAGATATAATTCTAATGAGCAAAAGCTATACAAAGCTATTTATATTGAAAGTCTTAAGTACTTATATCAACAAGTTGCATTGTTCGATCCGTCGTTTTAAGTCGCGATAAATGACGATTATCATCTAAACAAACAAAAACATCAAGTTAATTAAGTATTCCATATGTGCACAAAAAAATATTTCATAAATAACTGTTCATTGTTAATAAAATCTTATAATTATTACTTTGTTTATGAAAAATATATATATAAATAATCGCTTGTTTATTGAAATCATGATTGAAAAGTTTAGATATTAAAAATACTTACCCACATATCGGGCAAAACGGAACCTCTTACAAACTCGTTTTTCTTAAAGGCATTATCTATTTCCTCGCGAGTAACTATTTTCAACTTATGTAATAATGACAACGCGCTTTGCAACGAGATTAAATGAATGGACTCAATTCGCATATTGGAATCTCGTATAGCATGTAAAGGATAACTGAAACGATAAAGATATATTTTTTTAAAAGTATCATTTTTAAAGTTGAAATTTGTACAGCTCAAATGTATACGTGTGTGGTGCGTGTTTAAAATATGCTATTTAAATTTTTTGTAAACTTACTGATCGAGTTGCAAAAATTGTACTGGATAGTCGGATCTTTGAACTTGTTTGAATGTAGCTTTTATATGCATCGTTTCTAACATAGATATCATATAAGAGCACGTTTTAAAATGTGTAAAAATTTGTACAAATTCTTGTGTCAATATCCAACCTTCTCCTTCGGAGTGAAATATAAGTGTCGCGTTTTTAACTGAATCTATTTTTTTTAAATTTTAAAATTATTAATATTATAATAATAATTATTATTATTATCACTATAATAATAATTAATTAATAAATTATTATTATTTTATATAATTATAATAATTAATAATATTATAATAATATAATATTAATATAATATTAATATAATATAATATTAGAATAATAATTATAATATAATTATAATAATTTATTTATTATTATTATTATTATTATTATTATTATTATTATTATTATTATTATTATTATTATTATTATGATAATTTATTTTATATGCACAATACTAATAAACACTGGTTCAATTAACTGAATCCCGACAATGTCATACATACCAATTTTCTGAAACACAAAAGATGTGTCGAAAAAATAGTCACTCCCATTTTTATATTCGAACTTTTGATTCTTGTAAGATGGATTATTCCAAAAATTCTTATACATATCCATCGACGTTTCTTTATCGTTCCATTGAAAAATGTAATTTAAATCAGCTGTTCCATTCATCCCTCGATTTTCAGATTCTTTGGTATTATTCGAGTCTTTAGAAAGTGAAGAATTAATCGATGTGTTAATCGTAGAATTCTCACTATGATTCTGTAAGGAAGTATCGTTTGGAAAATGCGAGTTCATCCAACGTTCAGGAATCTCGACTTTTTTCCACGCTTGAGAGGAAAGGACTCGTTCATTCACCTTATTTTGCTGATGATAAATCGACTCGTTTATGATCGGAGGTGAGTTTTGCGACGTATAATCGGTTGGTAATCGACTCACGTAAGCCTCGTCGATATGATAGCTATCATGTTTCAAGTACAAGCCATCATTCACAGACTGCGAGGACAATTCCTTATTACAATGTTCTCTGGAAGGTACGTTAGCATCATTTTTAAAATCGCTATTGCGTTTCACGTCAGCTTCCTTTTTCTGTACATTATACATCACCGGGCCAGCCTCGTAAACGATTTTAGGAGTGTAATCAACGCCATTGACATTGACGTGGTCTGCAGTCGTAGGAAACCCCTTACTTCCCGCATTGACATTTACAGTTTCCATTTTTGAAGACTGATCGTTTAAATTTTTAACTGATTGATAGGATGTAGCATTGGTATCACAATTGTTCGCCATCCATTCATTCTGCTTCTCCGGCATCTGCATATTATTAATCATGGAAAACTTGAAGGGATTCGTCTCTTTGATCACTTTGGCGAATTCGTTATTTGCGGAAAAGTTGAAAGCCGAAGAATTATGATTGTTATTGCAGATATCAGCGTTTGGCACCGTCGAGGATATCGGCTTCGTTGCAGAAGGATTTTCATTGCCCTGATCGGGGTTCGGGAGAAAAACATTGGCCGCTGGTCCATAATTGGCGAACATGGGAGTCGGAGTCGCTGGAGAAGGGGAAATTGGAGTCACTTGGATATGCGGGCTGAATCTGTCAGATTGGTGCCAGCCAAAGGTATAACCGTTTGAGCCGTAAGCGGAAAACATATTGTGAGTCTGCGATAGTTTGTCATCGTCGAACGGATTCAGGGATAAGTTACTCATGCCCGCAAGATTCTGATTCACGAAACTCTCGGCGTTCGAGTTGACCGGCATCTTTTCCACCGAGTCGACCTTACTCGACGTTTCTTTCTTGAGCGACGCTGATGACGTGCCGATCGTAGACCTATCGCTGTCCGGTGCCAGGGTCTCTTCGAAGTTTCTGAGAAATTTATTCAAGTGATGCTGGATCGACATGTGATTTTCAAAAATGCTTCTATTGAGCGGCGAGCGTCCTAATAAATCGTACAAAATCTCAGTCAGCTTGATAAACAGCTGCATGTTCTCGCTCCAGATCGGAGTAAATATCTGCTTCGCTGCGTCATTAGAAATGACATTGTCGTGCAATTGTTGATCGTTGAGAAATGGATTCGTAGCTTCGTTACCGTAACTTGGTGTCCTTACATTTGGCGTGTTCCCGAAGGAATATGTATCGCTGGAACTTATCGTTGACGTGCTAGATAAGCTGGGTTTTTTGTCGAGAGGCGCAAAGCCTGGCGGTGGCCTCACCGTATGTTGCTCAAAGCCGCACGGATGAGTCTGTTTTGACGAAACCAAAGGTACCTCGTGTAGCTCCTCGGTGGATGTTGCCTTGCAGCAGCGACTATCCGACATTAGGCTCTCCTCCGCGAAGCAATACGTCGGTAATTGATTCAAATTGTTTACTACGTATTTCATTATGCTCGCCATATCGACGGCATCGCCCTGAATAATGAAAACAAAAGAGAAAACAGATCAGATAAAGTGATATGCGTATCATTACAATATTTCTTGTAGAAAATTAATACTTTAATATTAATATTAATATTTATATTAATTTTAATATTAATTTTATATTAATTTTATTAATATAAAATTAAATAATTAAATAATAAAATTAATATAAAATTAAATTATTAATATAATATTAATTTTAATATTTATTTATTTTAATATTAATATTTGAATAATATTCCAACAAGCTCGAGGTAAAAATAAGGAAGTTTGATAATTAGAAGAGAAACTTGAAAAATAACATGGAATAACGACGGCATCACCCTGAGTAATGAAAACAAAAAGGAAAACAGATCAGATAAAGTGATATGCGTATCATTAAAACAATATTTCTTGTAGGAAATTAATATTTTAATATTAATATTAATTTGATTTAATATTAATTTGATATTAATTTTATTAATATTAATTTTAATATTTATTTATTTTAATATTAATATTTGAATAATATTCCAACAAGCTCGAGGTAAAAATAAGGAAGTTTGATAATTAGAAGAGAAACTTGAAAAATAAATAGATAAATAGAATAACATTGAACCGAGGCACAAGAATTCGGGAAAAATTATCACTTTATGTGATCGTAGTAGTATTTTTCTTGCTGATTGGTATAATAAACTTTACACAACTTTGCACATTCCAATATCTTTATTACATATTGTGTCGTTGTATTTTATATACACTACATATAACATAAGGTTCAAATTTTTCCCAAAACAGAACTAAATTAATATCTTAATATGTATTACATAATTGCGAATATGCGATTACAAAAATATATATATATATGTATATATATTAGTAATCCAATTAGAAGAATCGTATTTTTTTTATCAACATATAATATTCCTCTACACATCACTAAAAGTAATTATTAAATGATTAATGATTAATAATGATGATAAGACACACAATCTTAATTTATCTTAATTCAAAAAAGTAAAATACGTTATATATGATTTATTGTGTGATAAAAAATTTTTTTTTCACAAAATGCAAATTTTATTAAATACTTTCAGATTCATTGTCTGAAATTTGATAGCCGTTGTACTTATTTTCCTCATAGTGTAAGACAGACTCTACACAAACGTCCCACTCGCTCTCATCGGATTCTATATCGCAATCATTCAGCACTGGCGGAACAAGTGTTTCCTCGAGCACATTTACGTCATTATTCGGTGATTTACATTTCACGCGATCTACCACCAATTCGTCGACTAATTCGCTTTCTTTCTTGTCACTCGCGACACTTTCCTGGTTACTTAGATCATCAGAATCCAATTCAACATCGCTCGACGCATTTTCCATGTTTTTCAACACCAATTCCAACATATTTTTTAAATTACGAGGCCTTTCGACTGTCGCATTCGAATGTTCTGAATTGTCAACGGTAGAAGCAATCGAGTCAATTTCCACCGAATGATTCTGCTTGGAATCATTCGTACTGAAAGAAGAGACAGAATCGTCCGAGGACAAGAGACATTTAGTTTCTTTAGAGTTGCAATCTAGCGAAAAATCACTCGAGGACGTGGACAGTTTCGAAAGGTTGCATAATTTGATAAAGCGCATGCTACTTTGATTCCTGACGTCCGAGTGTTGTTCGTCGTCTGACGAGATCATTGTACTACTGGTAGTGCTATTGCTGTGACTATAGGAAGACCATGGAACCTGGTCGCTGCTAGGAGAGTCTCTTTTACTAGACAGGTCCATCGAGGTATTCGAATGCATGGAATTCATCTGCATGCGCTTCATTTGATCCAATAATACTTTATATCTGGGATTGCCAGGTGTACTGCATTCAGAGGAACTGTCTGTATTACATTCAAACATTTTCTTATTATTTATTCTCGTCGTTTCATTCTTATCTTCATTATTAATCATATTAGAGGCGTTTGATTTCACATCATCTGTAGCAAAATCTCTGTTTTCTATTTCGGTTCTTGTCCCATATGCTTCATTATTTTCGTTTATGACCTGGGATTGAGGTGTCATTTTTACTGGAGAAGCTACACCATTGGTTTTAGCAGGATTAATAGCAGAATTTGATGTATCTTCAGATTGGACTTGAGTGTCATCATAATTACCACACAATATGTCAAGTATCCTCCTCGGTACAAGTACTGTTGTATACTGATCATTCTGTATTTCCATTCTGCTTCTCAGTCTTGCCACGGATTGTGACACATTTTTAAAACCGTAATTGAAATTCCTCTCGGGCAGGTAATATTCCTCTTCTCTACGAGTTAGATTAAAAAAGTAAGGGTTAAGAGGTGATTTTTTCTCCAGATTATTTAAATCATGCGATTCCGATTCATCTTCTGTTACATTGTTTTTATATTCTTTAATTAGAGCGTTCAAATTATTATGTGACGCAGCATTTGTTTCACGAAGAAGCTCATTCTTCTCTTGTATTACTTTCCAATCAAAAGGCTCCATCATACCATGTCCACCATATAAACTTCTAAATGTTCCAAAATCTTTTTCGTTATTATCCTCGTTGTCGGAATCTCTCAAAGTAAAATCCACATTCAGTGCACAGTGCTTTTCATTATCGTCGTGTGAATTAGCTTTCATATCTGAATCAATTTGTCGTATGTCATCTTTAAAGTCATGGTTTGACTTTGACGTCGAAATGCTCGGATTAGAATTGGATGTAACATTCAGTGTTCTCAATTTTTCGAACGGGGCAAATTCTCCAGGACCATTTGGTCTTTCATTTGTCGAAGAATTTGTTGATTGCGATTTAGTATCCGATGATTCAGCATTCAGTGAATTATTATCCCGTAATTTCTGCAAGAGAGCTTTTAAATTTGACTCGAAAGTTTTGTTTTCATTTGTTACATTATTTTCACTCTTTACATTAAATAATGTATGCGTTTTCTTGCACGGTATTGATTGATCTTGTCGCGTTTCATCGACATTTTCTATATCACTTTCTATATCACTCTCAGACATCTTATCATGGGCGATTGGCACAGACGTAGGCGATGGGACATTAATATTATTGCAAGTCGTATAATGAAGATACGAAAAGTTATCACACATACGCACCATTTTACCGCAACGTGCTAATTTCTCATTGATTAACCAATCATTTATATGTACATCCTCCTCTTCACTTGTATCAGTCAAAATGACCATCATAGAATTGTTCTATCAAAATAAATAAATAAATATTAGATAAATAATATTACATCCATAACAATCATATTTGTAATAGCAATTTTCTATAAATGTTATTATTATATGTCATATAAATGTTATTATTAAATTACACATATGTAAATTAATCAAATTAGAAGATTGAAAAAAATATTATCAATCTAATTATTTTTGCTTGATACCGAAAATTAAAACAAAGATATTTCACAATAATCGAGAAATAATCTAAAGTTAAAAATTAAAGTACTTATATTTTGATTTTAGAAATATAAAAAATAATCTCACCGAAGGATCAACTGAAATTATCGTTAAGGCTAAAAGAGTTTCACTAATTCTATCAACTAATTGATCTATTACACTCTTTTTCCAACGATCACCAACACATGGTCTAACATTGTACAAGCCGCAAGGTATCGCTTGCGCGGGTAGATAACAGAACTGTTTATGCAAATAATATACATCTTCGGACGCATACGTTTTCAAAGTGCCATAATCGTAAAACATTATCTATTGAAATATAAAGAATATTATTATAATAATATAATTGATGGAATCACTTCCAGAAACTTAATTGTATTATTCAAAATATTCTTATCTTATATTGCATTTTCACTCACCGTCACTCTGAAATCTGGCTTTACAGATTTAATAATTCCTCTATGCCATTTACCTGCATATATACAGGCACAATTTAGACCTTTTTTAAGAGCTATCTTTGGAATGGTGTACTTATCTTTATTACGCTGGTAATAATTGCTAGAAAAAAATTAAGTAATTTTAATTATCTTTCTCTCTATTGCTACTATTAATACATGAACATTGATTAATCGTTGTACTTACTGCAAATTACCCATAAGTTTATCAAAGTCTTTCCTATTTTCCCGTAGATGTATCCAAAAGAAGGTTGGATGAAATATTTCTACAATATATACCTCCAGAAAATTTCCAGTAGACTGTAAATCAGTCACTGATATTTGGTCCACACTGTCATTATAATTCATTGTATCCTCAGGTGCAAATATCTTGGTTATAGTAGGAGACTATAAAATTAGATATACCAATTATGGCAATATTATTAGAGTGTGCATATAAAAAAAGGGATAATTATATATTTTATTTTAGAGAAAGTAAAACAATTTAATTAATAAGAAAATAAACATCATGAATAGAAATATAATACTTAAGAAATCCTACAATTCCTGGATATTATTTATATATATTATGAATATTGTTACCTATGAATTTTTTTCATATAAAATCTTTAATTTTATTTGCGATAAAAATCAAAAGGATTAATACTTCTATATAAAATTTATATCTTTTTATAAATTTTAATACTTATAAAAAATCATTAACGGTTTTAGCATTATAAATAAATCAATAAATAAATACAATTATAATAATACAATATAATAATAAATTATATAAATAATAAATTATATAATAAATTAAATAATAAATATAATAATAAATTATATAAATACAATAATAAATCAATAAATAAATCAATCAATAAAATCAATCAATAAATATAGTTAACAATGTACAATGTAATTCAACAAAAGATATATCTTATCGATTAATTCCAAATGAGAGACATTATCAAATAAATATAGATATTATCAAAAAATATATACTTACAACATCCGCTGGGATCGGTGCATTGTCATCATTGTCATATTGTCTTCGCACTCCATTGTGTTCATCATATTGTTCACATGAGCTTGATCTTTTATCGGTAGACTCTGTTCTCGAATCTTGGTCAGGAACTATCGGCCTATTGTCCGCGGTATACAATAAGAAATCACCGGTCAAATTTTCCTGTGTCATATAGAAAATGTTCGTCAAGTAAGATACGTAATCGCGCACGCTCATAAAACCTAGTTCCTTGTAATTTAAATGTACGTTATATTCCTTGAAATATTGTTCAGGCAAATCAGCACACCAAATACCCTCTGGATGTTTTCGTATCAACTGATCCAATCGCGACTTTGTTCTATTGTCTATTAGCGAGGCAATTTCTGGGAGATCATTCAAGTAGTTATCATCATCGACGTCGTCGTTGTGATTCAACATTGCATTCTGTTCGTTATTCATACTTCGGGGAAAACTCGCGGCGATTCGCCCACTAGTCTGGGATTGCTTCGGATAATTATTGCTTACATAATTGGATGGGACAAAGATGCCTTCATCGTCAAGCTCCTCCGAAAAATCGGACCCCTCCTCTCCACCAACGCATACCGTTTCCCTGGCTGGTGACCGTGGTACATTCTGTGATGTTGAAGACTGTGGATGATTTTTCACGTTTCGTGAAACATCATTCACAGACGATTTAGGATAAATCATATCACAATCTAGATACAAGAAATGCGACAACTCGCGCAGCTGTTCCCGCATGTCATACATAGAGACTGTGATATGTGGCCATCGCTTCTGTAGCATCAAAATGACATTCCGCATACTTATGCCCTTTGGTTTGTTCCTGACATAGGCTACAATATACGATAGCTGCTCGGCTGTGACTCTGACTCGAGCACGTTGCATTTGTGGCAAGCGATTGGGAAATCGATTATTGACATTACTCTGACGAAACCTAGGCGGAATGTATTTCGATTTCGGAGGAAGCTTCTGACGGGATACCAACGAGCTCACGTGTTTAGTCTTCTCTGATGCGATTCCGCGCACGTGGTGTCCACCATTATACCACTCGATCACAAAATGTTCTGGCATACTGCTGAGAAAGTCCACCAAATCGGCAAAGCCAAACTTCCGCCATGGTATGCGCTCACCTTCCACCTCGTAATAATCTTGATCGAGGACGGCAACCGAGGTGCTGCCAGGTCGCGCAAGCAGTAAAGACAGGAGGATCTTACGAACCTCATCGAGTTTCGCACTGTTTATCGGCATGGTGTTGAGATTCTTTTATTCACGTTCAAATATTCTTATTGTTGGAATATTACTGATATAAGAAACATATCTCTCACGCCAGTGTCTCTCTTCAAAAAACTTGGACACCTGCAAAAAAATTCCACACTTAGTAAAGATGTAGCTAATCCAAGAGTACTGTATGTTGATACATTACACTCTATTAATTAATTAAAAATAAATTAAATATTTCATAACTCGTCATATATTTTGCATTAAATTTTACATATAATAGCATACAGCAAAAAAGTGTCATAAGCGAAAGAAATAATGTATCTCATCATTATCTATTAATCTTTTCAAAAATAATTATTATTAATATTAATATTGTTATTAATATTAATATTGTTATTAATATTATTATTATTATTAATATTATTATTAATATTATTATTATTATTATTATTATTAATATTAATATTACTATTAATATTATTATTAATATTAATATTATTAATATTAATAATAATATTAATTTATATTAATATTAATATTATTATTAATATTAATTTAATATTGTTACTTAATTAAAATTAATTTAATTAAATTATATTAAATATTATATTAAATAGTAATAGTAACAATATTAAATTAATATTAATAATAATATTTTAAATTAATTTAATATTATTATTATTAATTTAATATGATTAATATTAATATTATTAATAATTTTTTAATTAATATTTTTTCTTTTTAATTATTTATCGAAGATTTAGAAATAACGTTCTATCTGCTTAGAAAATAGCCACGAGATTCACAGATGCTTTACACAAATAACTACATACACAGGATCTTTTGTTTTCAAAAACTTTAACATGTGGAGTCTCACACATTCCTAAGATTAGGATCTAAAATGTTTCCTCGTGCTTTTTATAATATGAAAAAATATCTCAGGAATTCATCTCTAACAAGTTGTAGTTTACACTTTCTAAAGAAATAATTCGCTAAAAATAAGAAAGTATGCAAAACGATCTTCTTACACGAAAAACAAGAGACGTTCACATGAAGAACTTTGCAGATAAATACAGACTATTACCGAGCTTATCTCGCGTAAATTTTCAGGATAAATATCAAAGACTAAAATATATTAAACAAAATTAAAAATAATTAAACATTATTGGGGATGTCTTCTTTATATATATATATATATATATATATATATATATATATATATATATATATATATGAAAAAGCTTCCTCCAAGAAGTTACTTTGCACGTGATTCTGTGTATTCGAATTTATAGAAGGGTTAAATTACAAAGAAGATATTCTTAAAGTAATCTAAGTGATCTTACGTATCTCACAAATGCAAGTTCTATATTTCCTTATTAATTTTTTTTCTCACCTAACAATATCGTACCTTAATAAAGTGAATTTGATATCTTAACCTAATCTTTACCGGCGCTTCCTACCCCAAAGATATAACTAAGAGATAATAGCGCCCTGAGAAAGCTCTGTTTGCGTTTTATCAAGATATCTTGAGGAAGGAGAGGGAAAGTGAAAAAAAATTGAACACAGAGTAAAATTACGTAGAAATAAGATAACGTTCGAAACAGAACATGTATATGTGTATCTCTTTTTATTTAACTCAATTACACGAGAGAAAACCTCGAGAAGAGCTATCCACCAATCACGGCATTTTGACTCTTTTTCTCTCTCTTAGTTCATTGTTTTCAATTTATTTGTACGAATACGTACGTACCAAGCGACAATTTGACATACGATAGTCGAAAAATAAATATGGCTACATAATTCTAGCTTTTAAAAAAAAGATGCAGATATTTAAAAAACGCTTACGTTATTATTTAAGGTGCGGCCTCATTGACGCTACTTTTTAGCGTCAATGAGGCCGCACCTTTACAGCTTATTCCACGATAGCGACTGCGCTTGCGCGCTGGGCACAAATTCCGAGCCGACCAATCGGATTGAGGAGAGCAAGCGTTACTAGACTAGAGACCCTCGAGTAAGAGTCTGGCGATTGACTGTAGGCTGATTGGTTAGGTTAGGTTGACAAATAATGGCGGAACCAATCCAAAATACTGAAAGTTTTAGCGCAAATTATAAATTAGATATAAATCATTTTAGTGAAAATAAGTTAAAATTTTATATTTTGTGACGAGTATATAAAATAAATTAGTTACAAATATTTAAATTAATTTTCTAATAATGTCTATAAGTAATTTTTAAATTTTATGTTAATATAATTCGTTTAAAAAATATTTTTCACATATACGGCTATTTTTTGTGGGGTTCCAGTTTGGAATATTAATATTAATAATCACAATGCTCTTCTTTCATGATTTATTGGAAAACTTCTCATTGAAAATCCTTTAATTAGTAAAGTTATTGCAACCATCATTACAGCAGCCAGTCATTTTTCAATGCAAATTTAAGAAATATATAATAAAATAACCAATAATAATGTAAAAATAAAAAAAATTATTCTATAAAATTTATCCACAAATTTAAATAAAACAAGTACAAGTATGTAAATTTAAATGAACAGAATGAAAAAGATTCGACGACGTTCTTTTTTTATTTTAAGTTATTAAGTTTTAAGTTTCTCAAAAATAAAAGTTTTTTAGAAGCTTGCCTGGAAAACTCTTGCATAATGAAAACGTCATCTTAGATAATTTTTAGATAAGATGACATATTTTTCATCTAAGATAAAGATAAAGATACTTTGTATTTCTTCATCTAGTTAAAGATAAAGATGATTCATTTTTTATCTAGATAATTATCTAGATAATTTTATCTAGATATCAACAAATACTGCTAACTAATATATACACTCTACATATAGAGTGCCTTGTTATTTAACGCAGTCGCCATTTTTTTACTTGAGGATCTCTATACTAGACCACAGTTACGCTGATCTAGACTGCGTGAACTCTATGACCTTTGACAGAAACGTGCCACGTCCAATGGCGCTCCTTTCCTTTTCTCTGATTGGTCGATTTAAAATTCTTATTCGCTATCACGAATGCATAATACAAGTCATAAATTTAAATACGTAAGAGACGTCAATATTCGTCAATATTCTTGAATAAAAGAAGAAATATTCCTTTCAATGATGGCATGTTCTGTTCGTAAGTGATTACGTAAATTAGAAGGCGCTTTTGAAATCCAAAAGTGCCTTCAAATAATATCGAAAAATATGAAAAAGCATATGAAAAAAAAAGAGAAAAATGAATTTTTATAATACTTTTTATAAATAATTTTTTTTTATAAGAAAAGATTTTAAATTATTTATAAAGAAAAAATTTTTCAATTTTCAACAATTTAACAATTGATACGATTTGTGATTTTAAATTGTCTAAAACGTTGCGATGTTGTTCGTAAATTGTCCTTAGATTCTTTTTGTTAATTTATTTCGTAAAAAAAAAAAAGTTAAGATAATGAGCGTTTCTATAACAAGATACAAACAGCATTAATTACAGAGTTAAATGTATTATATAAAATATTATATTAAATATTATATATTAATTATTATGTATTATATAAATATATTAAATATTATATATTAATTAATTCCAATTTTTGAAAGTACTTGAGTAGTGCAAAAAATGCACAGCTATAGATCGAGCGAAACGAAATCATCATTTTTCCTATTTTATTTATTAGCTTCCTCCTTATAAAAATTTTATAAAATTATTTATAAAATTATTTTATAAAATTATTAATAAATATCTCTTTCTAAATATCTAAAATTGTTAATATATTATATCATATCGCGTAATCACTTGATTCTATATTAAACTATTAAATTTGATTGATACTCTTCCAATTCTTGACAGATTAATGCTGAAGAAAAATCAATTTTAATTTAATTAAAGAATATTATAATTATAATGCTTCATCATATCTTGACTTTTAGAGTGTTGCACTCCATCCGCATTGCAGCACATTGTGCGGCCGCAAGTAGGCGTTCTGGACAATGAAGAAAATAAAGATTGACATTAATTCCATTATGGATGCGAGGATTTACGACATCCTTAGTAGTTGCAACATTTAATCGAAGGAGACAGACACTGCTTATCATCAAAATGTACTTCCTGCTTATACGCATATTATTACCGTTTTTCTTGAGAAAAACAGAGGAAAAAAGAATTGTAGAATAGTGCAAATTGATAATGTAAAGTGCAGTTAGTCATCAATAACAATAATTTAGTTATCGATAAGTAATAATATTAACCTCCATCTCTTTAATTAATGGTATACAGTAAATAAAAAACACATTAATATTATGTATATTCGTATTAATTTTTCTTTCTATCTCATTGTTTATGTGCGATAAATAATATATAATTTTGCTTTCACAAAAAAATTATATCAACGAGAGATAGATTTATTTATTAGCATCATATCATCTAGATCTTTTGCAATGCTACACAATTATATACAAAATACATAAAACATTGTAAACATTATATATAAATATGCAAAATATGTATTTATTTATGTACCCAGATAGTATAAAGGGTTTAAAAAGAATTTATTTTTATGCCACAAAATCTGAGTTCACTTTTAAATGCAAAAAGAATTCTTTTACGCGTAAAAGAACTTGATATATACAAAATCCATTTAAAAAATTGAGCGTGACCTTCACGGGACCTTCAAGTAACTATTTAAGATCAAATTAATAACATCTTCTTATATCTCCTTTTAAATCATATAACTTTTGTCTGAAACTTTTTTTCGTATCTCGCATATTTTTCAAAATATTTGCCTGTTAAGATTAAAATGAATCACCCTTATACATATGTATTATTATATATATTTATGCACAATTAAGTATAGTTTTATAATTATATTCAATTTTGTATGAGTATATAATTATAATATATGAAACATTTTTTCAAGAAAATTAAAGTTGAGAAAAATTAAACCAATATTAATATTAATATTAATATTAATATTAATTATTATTTTTAGACGCTCTTTTATTTTCATTCTATTCATTAAAACATATCAAATTTCAAGATTAAAAATTTAATTACTGTTCAAAATGCTCTCTCATTGACGATAATTATAAATAATTAAGAAACCCCTCACAAATAATGGAATATTATTGATCCCTCTCGTGAACTTTCAAAATTAGCGGACCCGCGCTCTACGTAATCCAATTATAATAGCCAATATGATATTACATATTTGACAATAAACATTTCATAATTCTACGTAATTATCACACGGTAAAAAACATTTTGTATTTCTGTTAAAATTTTCTCGTGTAAAAATTTTGTGTTAAATTTTTAACATACTCTTATGTTAGTGTAACATATTATCGTTGCGTTATTTTGACATTTCTGCGTTGAGTTAATATTCACCGTTTCTAAGAGTTAAAACAACACAAATAATATGTAAATGCACGAATTTTTGATGAAATATGTTATGTGTTAAAATAAACAGATAAGTTGTGTTATTTTTCTCTCTATAACAGTTTCCATATGTTAGATCGACATACCTCTTCTGTTATTTATACTTCTGTTATTCATAAAAATGTAAGAATAACATTTTCTTTTAATTAAATTTAACATTATAAATATGTTAATTTAACATAAACTCTATTTCCAGATTTCAAGTTTAAGCGTTACACTTTTGCGTTAATTTTTAAACATATTTCTTGTGTTATTTATTTACATACTTACCTTCTGTTAAATTAAAATTAGAGTGGATAAATTGGGACATGTGAAATATGTTAAATTTAACACAAAATTTTTTACTGTGCATTAATCCTCAGAAAGCTCGAAATCAAAACTGTAATTTTTTTCCTCTAAATTTAAAACATTTTGCTTCGAGTGCGAGAGAACCCGAGGTCTCGTACACGCGGATGCATCAGCCGAGGGGATCAGCTATAGTAGGGGTAGAACTACCATGTATTCTCTCTCTCTCTCTCTTTCTCTCTCTATCTCTCTCTTTCTGCTACAAACGACGACATTTAAAATCAAACTGTCGGCGGACGACAGTGTCAGTCTGCGCAGCAGCGCGTTGCGTTGCTTAGCTGGAGTGGTGAGGCCGAGAATCCTGCCGGGTGGCATCGCTTTGAAGCGAAGGTCTGGGCGAGGGAACGCCCGAATAAAGAGCCAGGAGCAAGAGCCGGGACGTTTTCTCCTCGGGGAAGAGGAAGGCGGAAACGAAAAACGTCCACGCCCGGATAAACTCGACGATTTCTCATCCGTCAACTCCGACCTGTCAACGACGACGTTTCCTCGGCTCCGCGAAAAATGGCCCCATCGTGCTACGAGGTGATCCTCGTCGGCTTCATCCTCGTGCTGCCGTTCCTCTACGAGACCAGCCGCACCTTCCGCTACTACTTCAAGTTCCTGGTCTATTACGGCCTCGTGATGATGAACGCGATCCTCCTGATGCCCTTCATCTCGCTGCGACCTGGCAACGTTAAGAATTTTCTGTTAGTACAGGGTGCCTTTTAGCGAGGAAAGAGAAGCACGTGTGTCGCGCGATCGAGTCCCTCGAGCTGGAGCATTTCGAAGGTGCTCCGAAAATGTGACGTCTCATGAGAAAAATGTATTCGCGCGACACACGGCGCGTCTGTGGGTGTCTCGCCGAAAACCCCCATAGTCCGGCGACCGATCGATATTATTGCTTGTGTATTATTGCGCTCGTGTGTTATCCCCTCGTGCGAGTGGGCTTCCTCGTGCCAGGTTGACAGGCGTCGCGGCGGACGCGGGAACCGCCGAGAACGACCACGGGAATTTATTGACCGGCACTCGCTGGTTGTTCAGTGGGTGGCGGTGATGGCGATAATGCCGGTATTTGTGGTTGTTATTTGCAAAGGTCGTGACAGCGCGGCGATGTTTGTGTTCATGAGCAGAGGAGATTTAAACTTGCACCTCTTCGATCGATGAGAAAATGAGTAACTTCCCCTGTTATATAATTGCATCGATAAAATACACAGAAAAAAAAGACATTCTTGTTTTGCAAATATATTTAGTTTTAACATGGAAATCTTGAAATGAGATTATATCACGTTAATTAAGGATGTTTTGTATATATTTTTAAAATATTGAGAATTTAATGAAAATTGTACAGAATGTCCTTACATATGGTTAGAATCTTTAGTACAATTTTTAAATTGATTCACTAAAGTGTTCACAAGTTATAAGGATTTTAATTTGTACCGAATTAACATGTGTCCTTTTGGGAAACGTATGATAAAAACGTATGGAAATAATATTCAGAATTCGTTGAAAATTTGCAAAAGTTTAGATACAGAGGAAATATTTGGTCAAATAATATTATACAAGTACTAACTGATTAAAAAGATATTAAATATAATTCAATCAAGTTAGCCATGTCACAAGGCAAAATTCTCTGCCAAAAGTTAATCATTTTGATTGAGGATGTTTTCTAGCTACTTTCAAAATATTGAGAATTTAATGAAAATTGTACAGAATGCCCTTACGTATGATTAGAATCTTCTGTACAATTTTTAAATCAATTCACTAAAGCGTTCATAAGTTATAAGGATTTTAATTTGCATCGAATTAACATGTGTTCTTATGGGAAACGTATAACCACGATTCAAATGACAAAAACATATGGAAATATTCAAAATTTGTTTAAAATTTGCAAAAGTTTAGATACAGAGGAAATATTTGGTCAAATAATATTATACAAGTGCTAACTGATTAAAAAGATATTAAATATAATTCAATCAAGTTAGCCATGTATCTGTCAAAAGGCAAAATTCTCTGCCAAGAGTTAATCATTTCGATTGAGGATGTTTTCTACCTATTTTCAAAATATTGAGAATAATGAAAATTGTACAGAATGTCCTTACATATGTTTAGAATCTTCAGTACAATTTTTAAATCGATTCACTTAAAGCGTTTATAAGTTATAAGGATTTTAATTTGCATCGAATTAACATGTGTTCTTATGGGAAACGTATAACCACGTCGATTCAAATGACAAAAACACATGGAAATAATATTCAAAATTTGTTTAAAATTTGCAAAAGCTTAGATACAAAGAAAATATTTGTTCAAATAATATTATACAAGTACTAACTGATTAAAAAGATATTAAATATAATTCAATGAAATTAGCCATGTATCTGTCACAAGGTAAAATTCTCTGCCAAAAGTTAATCATTTCGATTAACAAAATTCAGAATATTTCAGTAAAAACGCAATAAATATTAAAAAATACATCTCTGCACTGTAGCTAAGATCAAATTATAATATTCCACACAATTTCTCATACTCAAAATACACCAAAAGTGGATATTCGTCAATATTGATTTTTAGCTACTTTTTGCTGAGATTGTACATACAAAACATCCTTAAAGAAAAATATAATTGCTTGAATAATTATTTGAATGAAGCCATTTTATTGTTTGAATAATTATTCGAATGAAACCAGTTCAATTCAGGAAAATATAGTCTTATGATTGAAGATTTAATTTTCTCGAATGAAAAAGAAGCAATGTTGGATTGAAAATAATATTTTTAAATCAAAGATTATAATTTTCCGAAAGTAGAATTAAATAATTATATATTCTTGAGGTGACAATTACAATATTAAAATAAGACTATAATATTATTAAAATTTAAAATTATTAAATTCTTCCAAGAAGTGGATATGTTCGTTAATATTGATTTTTAGCTACTTTTTGCTGAGATTGTACATGCAAAACATTCTTAAAGAAAAATATAATTGCTTGAATAATTATTCGAATGAAGCCATTTTATTGCTTGAATAATTATTCGAATGAAACCAGTTCATTTGAGAAAAATATAGTCTTATGATTGAAGATTTAATTTTCTCGAATGGGAAAGAAACAATGTTGGATAGAAAATAACATTTTTAAATCAAAGATTATAATTTTCTTAAAGTAGAATTAAATAATTATATATTCTTGAGGTGACAATTACAATATTAAAATAAGACTGTAATATCATTGAAATTTAAAATTATTAAATTCTTCCAAAAAGATTATAAATTGTTTTGCGTATATACGAAACAAAGAACGCGTTAGTTTAAGTATATAAATTTTGATTTGACACTTATTTTTTTCTATGTATAAACATATAAATTCAGGACACAGAAAAAAAGGACATTCTTGGTTTGAAAATATATTTAATTTTAACATGGAAATCTTGAAATGAGATTATATTGCGTTAATTCAAGAAAAATATAATTGCTTATTTGAACGAAGCCATTTGATATAGTTCAATCGAGAAAAATATATTCTTATGATTGAAGATTTAATTTTCTCGAATGGGAAAGAAACAATGTTGGATAGAAAATAATATTTTTAAATCAAAGATTATAATTTTCCGAAAGTAGAATTAAATAATTATATATTCTTGAGGTGACAATTACAATATTAAAATAAGACTATAATATTATTAAAATTTAAAATTATTAAATTCTCCCAAGAAGTGGATATGTTCGTTAATATTGATTTTTAGCTTTTTGCTGAGATTGTACATACAAAACATCCTTAAAGAAAAATATAATTGCTTGAATAATTATTCGAATGAAACCAGTTCATTTGAGAAAAATATAGTCTTATGATTGAAGATTTAATTTTCTCGAATGGGAAAGAAACAATCTTGGATAGAAAATAATATTTTTAAATCAAAAATAATTTTCCGAAAGTAGAATTAAATAATTATATATTCTTGAGGTGACAATTACAATATTAAAATAAGACTATAATATTATTGAAATTTAAAATTATTAAATTCTTCCAAGAAAATTATAAATTGTTGCGTATATACGAAACAATGAACACGTTAGTTTAAATATATAAGTTTTGATTTGACACTTCTTTTTTCTGTGTAATATAAATACCAAAGTAATATTTATATTTCACACTTAACATTTTACGTCACATTAACGTTGCAAAAAAAGATCTCCGAGGAGCGTGGGAGTAATTAATAAGAGATGGTTGGTCGATTGGAAATCTCGCGCGATATTATCTAATTTGCTTTTTATCTCGCTTCGTTGATATTAAATGTTTTTGTAATTGATAATGCTGTCAACATCTCGAGGTATTTCAGATACCGAGTATTTTTTCTATCTCTGGAAATATATATTTATTATCTATATATATTATTATTAAATTAATAATATTATATTTATATATTAAATATATATTTATTATCTATATATATTATTATTAAAATATATATTTATATATATTTTTTCTATCTATGGAAATATATATTTATTAACGCTAAGTTTTATTTCATTGATTAAGAATAATTAGCAATAATTTAAAATGTTTGCAATACATCGATAATATCGATACTCATTGTTATTTTTAAAATAGCAGAAATTGTAATTTTTAGATCTTTCAAACCTGTCATTTATCGACACAAATTTGCCTATTGATTATTTTCTTTCTCTTTATTATTTCAATTTCTTTAATTCATTATTTCAATATCTATAGTATATCTATAGTATTTCATTTTTTTTCGTATTTCTTAAAAATATAAAAGAAAAAAACATAAAAGTTAACTATTCTTTAAAAATACTTTCAAATGAATTTACTTCCTGATATCCACTGCTTGTAATCTGTTTATTTTTTACAAACAAAATTTATGCCGTGTTATTGAGTTTATTGAGATAAATGATCTCTTTTAGAAAACAAATATGAAAGTACATAGTACAAAGTATAAATTTCTTTAGAATGTTCAATTTTAAAAATATTAATATTATTATAAATAAATTTATGCTAATTTATGTTATTTTAAAAATAACTTTCGAGGCGGCCAAGATGAATTCTTAAAAGGACAGTCTAAATCTAAATCATTAAATAATCTTCTTTAAATCTTCCTTAATATTTGACTGACTGTTCCTTAATAATAATCATCTGTAAATTATTTATGCATTATTTGTCTTTGAGATTTTTTCTCTTTTAAATAGATAATAATCTTTTAAATAGATAATAAATTTTCTTAAATAGAATATTTTATCATTTAATTGATGATATTTATATATTTGCAAATCTCATTCATGAAATTATACATTAGATTATTCCACAGTTATGTTATTCCACTCCGATTTTATAAAATCATAAGAAATAGGATTTTGCATTCTTTAGAATGTTAATATAATTCTTTTACAAAAAAATATATATTTTTTACAAGAAAAGACATTTTCAAACTATAATAAAGTAAATGCTAATAGAAAGTTTTACATAATTTTTAAAACATATGTAAATTCTATTGTATATGACACTAAAATATATATATATATATATATATATATATATATCTTATCTTCTTCTTGGCATGATAAAATCAAAATATTACAAATAGAAACGAGGTATACTTTCACATTTAATCATTTTTTTATAAAATTATATAAAACATTCGTCGAGAGATTAACATCATAATATAATAATTAATATAATAATAAAATAGAAAAAGAATTCATTGATATAATAATTAATATAATAATAATATTTAAGCACACGAACTTGAAGTTTACGTGAAATCAAGAGAATTCTTTTTCTTGCCGTTATATCTAACAAAATTACACAAAATAAAGATACTTGATACTTGTCTCTATCAAGTGGCAGTTGTGCTATGTGAAAGGTATTTTCCAGGTGGGCATCGGCGCTGTGCCAGCCCATTAGCACTCTGCTGGGATTGCGCTGGGAGCTCAGAGGCAGGGAACACCTGGAGGAAGACAGGGCATGCATAATCGTGGCGAATCATCAGAGCTCGTTAGACGTCCAGGGGATGTTTCATCTGTGGCCAGTGATGGACAAGTGCACCGCCGTCGCCAAAAAAGAGATCTTTTACGCGTGGCCAGTCGGCCTTGGTGCATGGCTGTCCGGTCTAATTTTCATCGACAGAATGAATTCCGAGAAAGCACGATCCGTGCTCAATTCTGCCACAAAAGAACTCAAGACCAAGAAGGTAACATCTCGCGCGATAAAAATCGCATTGATTATCAAAGGTTTTTGCTGCTACTTTCTGCTGCTTTGCAGATGAAGCTGTGGATATTTCCCGAAGGCACCAGGCACAACACCGGTGAGATACATCCCTTCAAGAAGGGTGCCTTCCATATCGCAATCACGTCGCAATTGCCTATACTACCGGTTGTATTCTCTTCTTATTATTTCTTGTCCGCGGAAGAGAAGAGATTTGATTCTGGTGAGAAATAGTAAAATATTAATCATACAGAATAAAGAGGATTTTAAAAAATTAGATCTTTACCTAATTAAATTTTGAAGAGATAAATTTCAAAGACGTAGATCAATGATCATCTTATTAACATGTGTTTTTATAGGAAACGTATAACCACGTCGATTCAAATGACAAAAACACATGGAAATAATATTTAGAATTTGTTTAAAATTTGCAAAAGTTTAGATACAGAGGAAATATTGGTCAAATAATATTATACAAGTACTAACTGGTTAAAAAGATATTAAATATAATTCAATCAAGTTAACCATTATCTGTCACAAGGCGAAATTCTCTACCAAAAATTAATCATTTTGATTAAGGATATTTTGTAATATTTTCAAAATATTGAGAATTTAATGAAAATTGTACAGAATATCCTTACATATGTTTAGAATCTTCAGTACAATTTTTAATCGATTCACTGAAGCGTTCACATGTTCTAAAGATTTTAATTTGCACCGAATTAACATGTGTTCTTATGGGAAATGTATAACCACGTCGATTTAAATGACAAAAACACATTGAAATAATATTCAGAATTTGTTAAAAATTTGCAAAGGTTTAGATACAGAGGAAATATTTGGTCAAATAATGTTATACAAGTACTAACTGGTTAAAAAGATATTAAATATAATTCAATCATGTTAGCCATGTATCTGTCACAAGGCAAAATTCTCTGCCAAAAGTTAATCATTTTGATTGAGGATGTTTTCTACCTACTTTCAAAATATTGAGAATTTAATGAAAATTGTACAGAATATCCTTACATATGTTTAGAATCTTCAATACAATTTGAAATCGATTCACTGAAGCGTTCACAAGTTATAAGGATTTTAATTTGCATCGAATTAACATGTGTTTTTATAGGAAACGTATAACCACATCGATTCGTTAATCATTTTGATTAAGGATATTTTGTAATATTTTCAAAATATTGCGAATTTAATGAAAATTGTACAGAATATCCTTACATATGTTTAGAATCTTCAATACAATTTTAAATCGATTCATTGAAGCGTTCACAAGTTATAAGGATTTTAAAAGCGTTCACAAGTTATAAGGATTTTTAAAAGCAATTAAAATCCTATAAGGATTAATTTGCACCGAATTAACATGTGTTCTTATGGGAAATGAATAAACACGTCGATTTAAATGACAAAAACACATTGAAATAATATTCAGAATTTGTTAAAAATTTTTCAAAGGTTTAGATACAGAGGAAATATTTGGTGAAATAATATTATACAAATACTAACTGATTAAAAAGATATTAAATATAATTCAATCAAGTTAGCCATGTATCTGTCACAAGGCGAAATTCTCTGTCAAAAGTTAATCATTTCGATTCACAAAATTCGGAATATTTCAGTAAAAACGCAATAAATATTAAAAAATACATCTCTGCGCTGTAGCTAAGATCAAATTGTAATATTCCACACAATTTCTTACTCAAAATACACCAAAAGTAGATATATTCGTCAATATTGATTTTCAGCTACTTTTTGCTGAGATTGTACATACAAAACATCCTTAAACGTAATGATTTTTTCGTAAATATAACTTTTTCAACAATATAGATGAAATTATTAGAACTATTAAATGTAATTGATTTAATTGAAGGACGCGTTCTCATAACAACATTACCACCAATCTCTACGGAGGGACTCAGCACCGATAATGTCGAAGAATTGTTGGAGAAAACACGAAGTGCCATGAGCGAGGTACTTCACACGATGAATCGCGAGATCCAGCTATCCCTCGCTGCCGGTAAGTCCTATACTGAATGATCGTCATCCGGTGGACCATAACGAGCAACCTCTTCTTGCAGGGGAATAAGAGAGACTAAACAGATACTCTTTTACAAGAGTAGCGAATAAGCCTCCGCGCGGGAACCAAAAACTAAGTATCTGCTTAACATTCTCTTATGATATTATTTTAATTTATATTTCAACATCTTTAAAGAGTAAAGAGAGGTAGCGTTAAATTTTATATACACAATATACATTGTACACATTTCTTATTCTCTTTCGTAAAAGACCCCGCACATTTTATGTGAAAAAAGTGGCTTCGTCAAATTGGCTGAAATTGAAATATGTTGTAGCTTAAATGGTGCTGATTGAAAGTTCCCTCGGGCAAAAAATCCAAAAATCAAAAGTACAAAAGATGCGATGATTCGAAGAGGGAAACTTTAATCCATTTCAAATTATTGTATTTTTTATATTTTTGATTTTTGAGCTTTTTGCCCAAGGAAACTTTTAACCAGCATCACTTAAACTACAATATATTTCAATTTCAATCGATTTGACCGAAGGCACTTTTTTCATATAAAATGTGCGGGGTTCCTTATTATTTTATTTTTAGTACACAAACCGAAAGTTTAGATAGCTTTTTCTGTAATTCTTTCGTTCACGTAGCTAGTTACCGAGGTTCTTATCATTATAGTTACCTAATTCTTATCATTGATGTACAAACGTCACTCGCTATACATAAAAATTCGTAGATATATCTATAGATATATTTATAGATATATTTATAGATATATTTATAGACATATTTTATTATAGAATAAACAAGAAATTGTTTTAACTTAAAGGTATGCATTTCGAAACTAAGAAAAAAATGAAAAAGAAGCATAAAAACTGACTGGAAAAATTGTGTGCAGAAGGATTATAAATATTACACATAACACATAATTAATTAATTAATTAATTAGATATAAAACGTTTTGAAAAACAGCGTATTGTAAACTATACAGCACTCTTTGCCATAGACGCGAGTAGGAAAGAAAAAAAAAGAAGAGAAAACATTTAACGATTTTTCGTATTACGAGTTGTAAATATGATTCATTAGAATGCATTTTGTAAATTATGGGAACATTGTTAATGTAATTACTTATACCTAATGGATTTCACTAAATTATATTAGATATATTTTATTATACAAATAAGGTATACTTGTACCACTTGTCTGTTTTATGCTTCCATTTGTTTTATACGGAATATTCTTTGTATGAATGAAGATTTTAGATGTAACTATAATTACAGAATTACAGAAGTACAGAGTTTTAATTTTAAATATCTAGAAAGGGATTCAATTTTTACACAATATTATTTAGGAAATTTTTAAATATGTATTTCTCTGTAAAATTTAACTCTATCGATTTATTTTTTTAATCAACTATAATCGAGGTAAAATATAAGGGAAATAATATTATACTAACTATAGAGTAATATTAAATTTAAAGCACACATTATATAATCATATTATACTGTAGTGTACATACATTTTTTTAATTATGATTGCGACACGAAAGATTGATCGTGGCTGAGTGTGACCATTTTTTAGATATCAAATTAAATTTCTGGACATTTCTCGGGTGTGTTTGAATGTTTACATATATCTATTGTATATTTAATTAGTATGTCCCTATTTTCTTTAGTAGGGATAAAATGCGACATCCTATGTAAAGTCAATGCTTTCTTTTATATTATTTCCTCAAATTAGAGAGACTGTGTTCAGTTTATGGCATAGTTGACATAATGTTTTATTACTAATTTGTTGCAATTTATAAAAAGAATATCCTAACTAATTAACTTTGTCGTTGATGGAAAAAAACAAACTAATTAAAAAAGCATTGCGTCAACTACGCTTTTATTTTTCTTCCGATATCAATGCTATTTTCAGTGTATATACAAGGTGGCCCCGAACGTTGCAGTCAGACTTTGAGATCTTATAGGAAATTTAATTCTGAAGAAAAAATTTCCGATAAACATGAAAATGCTTCCTTAAGAAGTTATCGCCGAAAAACTTCTGAAGGAAGAGCAAAAGGTGAAAGGAAAATGAAATAAAAAGAAAATGAAACTAAATAAATTTCTTGAAAAAAAACGATAAAAATAAAAATAAAAATCTTTTTCTTTCATGAAAATAAAATAATTTGTTTTTAACTAACTTTTATTTTATTTTCATAAAAGAAAAAGATTTTTATTTTTTATTTTTATCGTTTTTTTCAAGAAATTTATTTAGTTTCATTTTCTTTTTATTTCATTTTCCTTTCACCTTTTGCTCTTCCTTCAGAGGTTTTTGAGCGATAACTTCATAAAAAAGCATTATTCGACCTATGTTTATGGGAAATTTTTTGTTCAGAATTAAATTTCCTATAAGATCTCAAAGTCTGGGCCTGTATATATTTACTGATATGTCTTTTGCGTTTTCCAATATTGTACAATACAAATTCCAATACAAAAAAAAGATGGATTTGATGTAGAATTATAAATGCTTATTCAGTTACAAAGTCCTTTATAATTATCACGAATAACATGATTATACAATCGTTTAATTATTGACTTTTATACTGTGATATTATGTTTATCTTTTCTGCATCAATTAATCTTGTCATAAGTTATAACAGGTACATGATAGCTGTAATGCAATTCAAACAATAACTATAATCTATTGTTTATTTAGTCATTAAATAATAAATTGCATTGACTTTTGATAGCTTCCTAATCTTTATAAATCAAGATAATCAGAAAATTTCTACACCTAAAATGTATTATACGGATATAGATATTTCAAAACATTGTACGACTTGTCAAATGTTCTACGATTAATCCAATTGTAAATTATAACTTAAAAATATCACATATATAAGAGAGCAATTTATGTAGAAAAATTGACATAAGTCATTTTAAATATTGTATTAAGATAAATCGTTGCGTCTTCACTTTTTGTATTAATTTATATAATATTATATAATAATATTAATTTATATAATATTAATTTATATATTATATAATAATATTAATTTATATAATATTATATAATATTTATTCTATATTTAATCTATAATCTTATTCAAATATTCTTTGATTCGGATTCGCTCCATGTTTCTCGTTAAATGTGATAATTGTGATCAAAATGCGATATAAATGGTGACGGCCAATTATTATTGTCAGTGTTAAATGTGTATCTTTTAGCGCTATTTATAAATTTTGTAAGATACACTTCAGTTGTTGCTGCTGTTGTATTATATGTTATTGTACTATTATGACATATTTGTTTTATCGTGATGATTATGCTCTGCAAGATTGCACAAATATTTTTATATCATGATTAAAAATGAATTGAATCTTCAGTCGTAGCAGAAAAAAATACTTGGAAATTCTCTCGTTTATCAGATATATCTTGATCGAAAAGAAACGTATTTCGATAATAATATATTCATCCACGAAAGGCTCGCGATAGAGGAGAATGTAATTTTTATTGAAACTATATTATATCTGGAACTTCTAAAATTTTTCGAGTAGTAGGTAAAATCATGTAAGCATTTGAAATACTTTCACATTAGTATTATCTTCCTGATGAATGAAAAAAACGCACAATTTTCAATCAAACGCGATAACGCTGCGTTTAATGTACGATTTCTAGCGTAATCGAATAATATTTCGTGCATGAATAAATAGAAATTTGGAGTAAAGTTTTTGCGATTTGAGAAAAAATAATCTATATTATCAACATCTATTCTCAAAAATAAAGAACGTGTTTTATTATTTTAATTAATTAACGTGTCATTTAATTATGAAAAGATGATTGATCATAAATACATAAGTATTACAATAGTATTTGTGATTAATTAAAGAATAAAAATAAGTGTATATACATCTTTAAACAACGTTTTATTTAACAAAGTCTGCCCATCGAGTCATTTATCACCTCAGTGCCAATTTGCAAAGAGCAACTGTGTCACACGATAATTTTTACATACACAGCGTATCATTCTATTTTTACTTTAGTAAGAATTATAAAGATATATAGATAGAATTATAGATTTAATTATAGATTTAAATTTATAGATTTAATTATAGATTTAAATTTATAGATTTAAATTTTCTTAAATACAAATGTATCTATTGCATCGATTGATTATTTTGTGATAGAACACAAAAGTTACATAAAATTAGAGTAACTTATCGTTCCAAAGAATAATTTATTATTCCAAAGAGTTTGTACTTGGGCTGTGCATTTGTCACGACATAATATTTACTGAACAATCACAGCAAATATTACATAACAATCACAAACGAGATTCAACGAATTATACATTTATGTGATACCAATTTTTTATTTGTCTGTAAACACAAGGGTCATATTGATCAAGTTTATTAATGAGTTTCATTATATTAATATAAATAATTGTAATGTAAATTAAGGGACAGTTTACAAAATGCAAGAACAAATAAATAAAGATATTTGATTTTAGTTAAGAGTATATTATTTATCTCTCCAATAGCAAACATACAAAAATGGCAAAAATGAAGATGCAAACGGCAGCAACATACAATGAATCTTTCGATATTGTAGTATCAATGGTATAACTATTACTAAATGTGACAGTTAAACAATATAGAAATATAAAACGATAAAAAGTTAAAAAGAATATCTTAATATTCAAGTTAAATACTCAAATATAAATTTTATCGATTAAATACTTGCACAAATTAAAATCTAAATTATGTTGTTTCTTGATTTTGAAATTAAAAGTATTAAAAAAAAGTGCCTTAAGGTCAACAATTTGTTGTTACACTAATGCTACATACATAGTTTCTTTTTATTGAGAAAGAATAAATATGTATAATGTGTTCTTCTATAATTCTATACTTTTTATTTTAAATACTATAAAGTTTATATTACACTTGATGTATCAAACGCAAAAAAGAAAACGCAAGATGTATTACCTAACACTTTTAGATCTACGAGATCTCGTAGATCAATACCGGAATTACAAATCCATTGTACCGCTTCTCTGTTTCTCTTGGCTCTCGGTCCATGCCTTTGCTATTGTTTTCTTCATCTCATCGTCGCCATCCTGATACATCTTCTTCATGAGATTCATTAGACTAGCGCTGGGATCGCTATCTTCTCCCAATTCTGGTACAGATGATTTCGCATCCTTGATTCTCTTTTCCACTAATGTGATATGAGACCAGTCTTTGGCAACTTTTTTCGCTAGTAACACGACGATCATATCGGTCTTCACTTTAAAACTACTCCTCTCGGTGTCGATCTCGGCGCACAAATTGTTGATTGGCAAGTTATAATTTTTTTTGTCCAAACCGAGTACTCGCAGATCCAAAGACTTGTCTGTGAAGTTGCAGATGATGGCTTGCTTGGGCAACTGATGAACATCCTTCAATGTTATATAAATTTTGACTGTTGTAAGCGTCTGATCCCATCCGTAATTGTTCAATTTCACTTCGTAGCACTTTTTGGGACCGTTGAACAAAGGAGTTGTCGGTTTGATGGCTGCATTTTTGTTTTCTTCAAGTAACCTTGCCAATTCTGTCTGTAGTCTTCTAATTTCTAGCATTAATATGTCTTTAGTTCGTTGTCTACGAGCCTGTTCGAGTAAGCTGTTGAGCTCCTCGATGTCCAATTTCACCTGTGAGAGAAAGAATATTAAAATTATGTGTCAAAATTATAAAAATTTAAATAGAGCAAGTCAAATTAAATTTATATTTTCAGTAAAATATTTTCAGTAAAATAAGTAAATAAATTAAATTAATTAATTAAGTAAAATTCAATAAAATATATAAAGCTACTTATTATTAAATTAAACGCTAATTTGTTAATAAACATGTAAAATAAAAATCTAGCAACACTCACTTCGTCAGTTTTCGACGACATTGTTGATTTGATTATTCAAGTTCTCAAATTTGGTTATTCCTTTATTCAAAGTTTGGCTCGCAATTCTTACAGAATGTTCACGATGTCACAAGTTTTACACCAAGATACAGTAGATGTTCTCGAACTGACATTCGAAGATAAAATGAAGGTAAAATACGGTAGAATATCATCCTCTGGAATCTTCCAGAATTTTCGTTTCTGGTGTTCACAAATATCTGTTCTGCATATCTGCACTGTTACACTTTCTGCACTCAAAATAACATGTAGAAAAAATTTAAATACATGTAGAAAAAAAATTAAAATAATATTTTAATAGATATTAAGTCAATATAAATTCAATCTTTTTACAAAAAATTTGGATTTTTCAAATGTTATATATATCTGAGAGAGAGAGAGAGAGAGAGAGAGAGAGAGAGAGAGAGAGAGAGATAAAAAGAAAGATTTTTTAATTTTAACAACCCGGAAAAAAATAATAAAATGTTTTAATTAGATCAAATTATATGTGATTAGATCTAAATTTTTAACCAAATTGATTAAGTGAGTTCTAACAGATCTAGGCAATATCTGGTGTAATATATAATTTCAGATCAGTCACCCAGTATAGTGTGTGTAATAGGTTAGAAAGAGAGAGAAAAAGAGAGCAAGCGAGACAGAAGGTCATTGCTGTGATTGGTTACTTGTCAAGTCCACGCATGCGCAGTTCATTTTTATCCACGCTGAAAAAAATTCAATCTTTTTACCAAAAATTTGGATTTTTCAAATGTTATACATATCTGAGAGAGAGAGAGAGAGAGATAAAAAGAAAGATTTTTTTAATTTTAATAACCCGAGAAAAAAATGATAAGGTCGATAAATAAGGTGGGAATAATAAAGGAATTTTTTCCAATTTTAATAATTATATAGTATATATATATATATATATATATACTATATAATTATTAAAATTGGAAAAAATTTCTTTATTATTCCCACCTTATTTATCGACCTTATCATTTTTTTCTCGGGTTATTAAAATATATATATATATATATATATATATATATATATATATATATATATATACAGGGTGGACCAAAAGTCTGGATACAATCGAAGAAAAAATATGTAATTTGCATTAACAATTAAATATTTTTTCTTAAAAGTAACTATGCGTTTTCTTTACATCAATTGATTCCTCTCATTATTTTATACATAAAAGTATTAAGGTAAGATAATCGAAAAATGAATATTTTACAAAATATTTTACGGTTTATGTAAAATTAAGAAATGATTTCAAGCCTTATAACTCAAAAAGTGCTTGAGGGAAAAATATTTTATTATAGTGTTTTGGAAAGCTACGAGAAATGCAATGAAAAATAGGGAGTTCCATTAAAAAAATTCAAGTTGACCTTGCCCTGACCTTGGCGACGCCACTCAATGTCAAATAGATATTACAGTTAAATACATCTTTTTAATCCTTACAACTTTTGTCTAAAGCATTTTGTTCTAAAATGCATTCTATACGAGATATTCGAGTGTATCCACTTTTGATCCACCCTGTATATTATTAATTATAATATCTTATATACTTCGAAGTGTGTGTGTGTACATCAGAAAAAAAAGTAAGAGTACACATAATAATAATTGCGGATCGATAATTACGTGCGAGTTTATTTGTATTTTTTGCGATTTTAAAAGGATATCGCAAGAAATACGGAAATGTTAGAATCACAGATCTCCGATTTCGAAATACAACAAAATATAATGATCTGACTGTAAGACAGGAGATTTTTCAGATTATGTATTGATTCTAAACAACGATACCATTTAATTAATTTCGAATATGTTATACCTTATACCTACTTATTCTGTTAATATTATTTTCAAAAATAAAGAAAATTAAAGAAGAATTATTTATTATTGAAAAAGTACAAAATTTATTACATATATAAAAACGAAACGTTCAGTGTCAAATAAAGCTTAAAATCAGATGATATTTTATTTTATAATTAAATAAAGAGCTATGGTAAATGCAGGGTTGAACATTCATCCTAAATCCTGTAAACTTGAAATTATTATTTTTGGTTTTTTTTCAGAAATAATATTTTGATCATCTTTGCATTATCTTACTCTTTCATCTGAATAATATTAGAAAACTATGCGACGACGACGTAGTAATGTCTTAAAATATCAGAATATAATACGAACATGTGGGCATGTATTACGAATATAAGATAAAATAATAGATAATAAAACAGAACATGTAATGTTGCGACGCAATGCTCGACGCAAGCGCAAGAAAATTATGCGAAAATAGTGTTACAGCGATACAAAAAAAAGAAGTAATAATCGCATTTGTTCGAACCTCGCGAGACAAATATATATAAATAGATTATACACTGAGGAAAAAATTTGTTTAAATCAAATAAATTTGTTTTCTTGAAACTTTTGCTTTAAATACAAGGAATTGTTTATTTCATTTAAGCAAAAGCATTTAATTTTAATTAAATATGCATGTTATATTAAGTACATTAGTTTCATTTATATATTTTTTTATATTTAAATACTATTTTTGTAAAATATATACTATAATTTGTTAAATTAAATATATCATTTTTTAAAATTAAAAAAATTTTAAATTTTTGGGAATAAAAAATGCATTTTGATAAATATTTTGTGAAATTAACATAAAAATATTTAATTAAAAATTATATTTTTTTAAACATATGTAAATAAATACTTAATTTAAGCAAACAGACGTTTTGAATACAAGTAAATACGTAATCAGTACCCACCGAATAAATAGCTTTCTTAAGTTAACTAAAATTTTTTTTATTTCAAGATCATTTTTTCCTCAGTATGCGTACAAATTATTCGAGAAAAATGAACTCTATGTATTTATGCGAAACATTCACAGCTCATTTCATCTGACAACAGCGTAGTTTGGAATTGGTGTGTTAACCGTTCCCCAAAAAAGAATGAGCTTCGTGGGATCATGTCTGATGAAAAAGAGAAAAGGTCTATCGGCAACTAATTTCTTCTGACTACCGTCTCGTCGTAAAATTACGCCAGTCGTCGCCGCAGCTTCCGTTCCTATTTCCGTCACCTCCATCTCCACCTTGTGTAGCACCTCGTCGGCGAATAAACCCGGATTTACGAGAGTCCCGCTGTTTCGAATATTATCCAGACCGTAAGATGGGAAATTCTTGCTTTGCATAAATTTCAGGAAGTTGTCGTCTATAGGTCGGTTCTGCCGTCTCCTTCTGCTCTTCGTTTTTGTCTCGGCGTTTCGGAAACGATACTTGTTCTCCTCTAAACTTACATATTTCGTATCTTCGTCATTAGTCTTCGGCGCGATTTTCTCGTCCGTGACATACATCGTTCGCGATGACGTGACGTTGTGTCGTTTTTTGTCCAAAACGTTGCGACGTGTTCTACGAATTTTGTGAATTTGAAATCCTGTGCTCCATTGTTCAATATTAAAGCCACGCTCTTTATCATCGTACCTGAAAAAGTTTGTTCTCACACCCTGGTCTCCCATTCGTGAAAAGATCAGATATTCGTCGGTTTTGCTGGAAACCGCTTGCCGTGGAATTTGCGGGGAAATTGGTGAGGCTGCTAACGGAATTGGTACAGCCGTTGAACCGTATCCGCTCGATAAGAGACTCAAATCCGCAGTTTTCGCATCGAATAACGACTGCAATCCCAAATTTTGAAGCGCACTATTCAACGTCAACGTACTCGAGAGTTTCATTCGAGGAAGACCGATGATACAGGTTTGGTTCTTGAGATTACTTATTAAGTATTCGATAGTTTCGACTGTTAATTGATCTTGAAAATTTTTCAAAGCAGTTGCCCCATGGACTTTCGGCAGAAGTATATACATGGACATCTCTAAACCTTTATAAGGTAGAGCCAAAATTTTAACGCCTATTTGTTTGTCTTCGTAAAAGGGAAATTCACCGCCGTTATACATCATATCTACTTCGATCTTATCATTCGGTTCAATGAAAAATTCTCTTCTGCAAAATAGAAAATTATAATATATATAAAAAAAATATATAATAATAAAATATAATAATAAAATATAATAATATATAATATATAATAATAAAAAAAGTAATAATAAAAAAATATAATAAAAATAATAATAAAAAATAATAATGAAAATAATAATAAAAAAATATATAATATATATAAAAAAAATGAATCTTTTTTTTTATCATTGGGTAATGAATAAAAATATCTCACCTCCGTGTCGCACCACGTAAGAAATGTTGATTCCATTCTCCTTTGAAGTAGAGTGCCGATAAAAGAATTACCATGGTCCTCGGATCGGGCGCGCCTGTCAATATTCCATTGATCTTTCCCATTGTCCGATTCCTTACCCAATTGTTGATTATATTCTCGGCTTCTTTGCTTTTTCTTTGAAAATCTAAATTTATTACTTCGCTTTTATAGACTTTTGTGCTAATCTCGAGAAATTCAGGGCGAATTGGATATCCCTCCTAAAACAAAAGTTAAAAATTCATTAAATTTATTAAAATAATGTTTTATAATTAAATGAAAATCTTATTATCTATATATTTGCATGCCTAAATTTTAATTTATAAAAAATTCTCTCTTTCTCTATTTCTAATAATTTATAATTTAGATGTTATTAATATTCTTCTAAATTTCTTTTTGCAGATTTAGATAATAAATTTGATTTCAATTTATTACGCAGCATGCGACTTTTTAATTATTCCAATTAATGGAAATAAAATATTGAATATATACCTGAACAAAAACACCACTGGCAGAATCTATGCGCGGTTTATTGCTTCCTTCAATCCTGTAGTTCGCCAAGTCCAGCAACTGGCCAAATGTTTGATGAACAATTTCCGAGTGTTGGGATATATCAATACCTGATTCTAAACCGAGCACTCGCGAAACTTCATCAAAAGTCCTGCCGGAAGAACCCAACAAGACCAATGATAGAGCAACAGCGACGCTGAGTGGAGAAAAGATGATATTTTCACGATGAGCCAATGCGCCTTCAGAATTGAAAATCGCTCTATTCAAGTCCAAAGAGAACTTCATGATTCCTCTAGCTATAATATCGTTCACCTAAAATCAATGACATATTAACGATTTTTATTTTGACACATCTTCGCGAATATTGCACACTGAGGAAAAAATTATCTTGAAATAAAAAAATTTTAGTTAATTCAAGAAAGCCATTTATTTGATAGATACTAATCACGTATTTACTTGTATTCAAAACGTCTGTTTGCTTAAGTTAAGTATTTATTTACATATATTTAAAAAAATATATATGCTTAAAAAATATAATTTTTAATGAAATATTTTTATTTTAATTTTACAAAACGTTTATTAAAATGCATTTTTTATTCCCAAAAATTTTAAATTTTTTAATTTTAAAAAATAATATATTTAATTTAATAAATTATAGTATATATTTTACGAAAATAGTATTTAAATATAAAAAATATATAAATGAAAATAATGTACTTAATATAACATGCATATTTAATTAAAATTAAATACTTTTGCTTAAATGAAATAAACAATTCCTTGCATTTAAAGCAAAAGTTTCAAGAAAACAAATTTATTTGATTTAAAAAAATTTTTCCCTCAGTGCAGAATCAATAGAAAATAAATACACACATATAATTATTTATTTATGTAATTAAACAAAATTTACTATATTTCACAAATATTTACTATAACAAAATTTACTATATTTCACAAATATTTACTATATTTCACAAATTTAAAAAGAAATATATTTGAAGAACTATGTCATTGTTTTTTTCAATTTTATTTCGAGCGTGATTATTTCTGCAGATTGACTACAATGTAATCCATAAAAATTTGCAATTAATTTTATTTTCAGAGCAAGTTGTTTGCTGAGCATGCAAAAATAAAAGAAAACATGCAAATTACAAACTGATAATAACTTACATGATTATTCCAATTTTCCAATGACGGACTAGCTGTTGAATTAGCTATCGGACTTACTGAGGGATTAAGAGGTAGCTGAGTTGTGGGATTAAATCGTGCCGGTTCTAGACGTGCGATCCCGGATTGCAGAGTGGATTCTCGAATGGATTGTTTAGTTGTCTGAACTGATTGGCTATTGCTGACTGTTTGCAACGCAGGATAACTAGCAGGATAATTAGCAGGTTGTCCTGAAAGGATAGGTGCACGGCTCGTATCTGTCATCTTCACATATTCATCTGGATAGACGATCTGACCAGCAGACACTAATATCAGAAAATCCAACAACAACCATATTCGTGCCATGTCTTCGATTATCTATAAAGAGATATGTAAGTTATATACATGTTTGTAATATTGATTTTCTAAAAGAAGATAAATCAAAAGGGATTGATAAAAATACATTCTACGAGGTGTGTTAAAAAAAAAGGTGACTTTTTATTTTTCTCGAAAAATATTTATTTATTCATCAATATCTATTTTGTCCCCTTCAAAGTAATCCCCCTCAAATATTATACACTTGTGCCAGCGCTTTTTCCAATCCTCGAAGCACTTTTGATATGCGCTTTTTGGTATGGTCTCGAGCTCTTCCAGCGATGCGATCTTTATCTCCTCAATCGTGGCAAATCTCCGTCCTTTCATGGGTCTTTTCAGTTTTGAGAACAAGAAAAAGTCGCAAGGGGCTAAATCCGGTGAATACGGTGGCTGAGGCATGGTTACGGAGTTGACTTTGGCCAAAAAATCACGAACAAGCAACGACGTGTGAGCTGGCGCATTATCGTGGTGCAATATCCATGCCCAAAACACCCGAAAAAATTGTATGGCATGAGCCAACCGATATGCCGACATCCTCAGCAACTTCTCTAATAGTAATTCGACGATTCTCCATAACAATTTTCTTCACTGCTTCGACGTTGTCATCGGTTGTTGACGTGCTGGGGCGTCCAGGGTGGGCATCGTCATTAACATTTTCTCGATCTTTTGTGAAGAGCTTGTATCACTTGTAAACATTTTTTTTTGCTCAGAGTAGACTCGCCAAATGCCGCAGTCAACATTTCAAATACGTCAGAGCACTTAATTTTATTGTTCACACAAAATTTAATACAGGAGACCGCATCGCTGGAAGAGTTCGAGACCATATCAAAAAGCGCATATTAAAAGTGCTTCGAGGATTGGAAAAAACGCTGGCACAAGTGTATAATATCTGAGGGGGATTATTTTGAAGGGGACAAAATAGATATTGATGAATAAATAAATATTTTTCGAGAAAAATAAAAAGTCACCTTTTTTTTTGAACACACCTCGTATAATATCATGAAAATATTAATCTTTGCCCGATATCAGAGAAATTGATATACAAATTTAACTTATTATATAGCAGGGTTGACAAAAAACTTGTTTTTTTAATTTTAAACAAAAAACATTGTTTTTTTTTGTTTAGAACAATGTTTTTTGTTTTAATTGTGTTTTTAAGTAAAGGAAAAAAAGAACATGTTTTAAACAAAAAAAGCATGTTTTAAACAAGCAAAAAACACTTAATAGCTTTGATCTGTGTAAATATTTAAATTTTTCACTAACGTTAAACGGTAAATACCGTTGTAAATAACGTTGCCAAAATTGACGCTATTAAAAATATAAATAATAAAATGAAAATGATAAGATGGGTATTATTTTAGCAGAATATTTATTTTCGGATATTAAATAACAATCTATACAATAAAGATTACTTAGAAGATATTGACTGACTCTACATTTTACATTTTAGCATTTTAAATTAATAGTACATAACTCATAGCAGGTCAGTAGTTCTAAAAAAAGTTCTAGTTAATAATATTTAATATATAATACTTTGGTTCCTTTCCTATTAGGCTCCTATTGGCTCCTTTCCATATATTCCTTAAGTAACCTCATGTTTAACTCTCAACATCAATTATAAATAAAAGAAAAATAAAAAAAACCTCAATTCTTCTTTTTAAAAGAAGAACTTTTTTTGAAAACTACTGACCTGCTATGAGTTATGTACTATTAATTTAAAATGCTATAATGTAAAATGTAAAGTCAGTCAATATCTTTTAAGTAATCTTTATTGTATTGATTGTTATTGTAATATCCAAAAATAAATATTCTGCTAAAATAATACCCATCTTATCATTTTTATTTTATTATTTATATTTTTATATCTATATGTTACATAAATATAGATAAAAAACTAAAAACACTAAAATAAAAACTTTTTTGCAACATAAACATCTATTAGTTTTTGTTTGTTTTTTATTTTTTTTACAATTTCTTTTCCAAATATAATCATATATTTTATTTGCGATATTTTAAACGATTCTAAACAGTAGTTTAAAACAGTTTAAAACAAAAATGTTTAAAACAGTGTCCATTGTTTTAAACAAGTTTTAATCAAACAGTTTTAAACACATTGTTTAAAACATGCCTGTTATATAGCTTTTTATTCGTCTTTTTATTTTTATATAGATTTAAACAATCGATAAGAGACGAATATATAATTTCGTAGTAAATCATTGTATTCCTATTTAGTATAATATAATAATAATATATGTTTTTTTTTCAAAAATATAGCGATAGCGGAATTAGAATTATTAGTTTATGATTATGAATATAAGTTTGCATTCGTTGCAAACAATTAGCAGCGGAATCTCGTAATTATAATACATCTAATGACATATAGTTCGCATAATTGCTCACATCCTATACTCGTATATAAGTAAGCGATAAATGCCATTATACCATTATTATTTGTAAGCACGATAACAACGATATTTCATATCTTGCCAATGATGTTATAATACATCATCAAAAGTAACAATAATATGTTAATCGATGATTATAAAAAAAGCTTAAAACAAAAATGTATAATATTATTGTTGTATTGTTGTATACAGAATATATTTTAACGGTTTTTTTCTAAGCGATATCCGCAATATCATTGATTTAAAATATTTTAATTAATTGTTCCAGATGTGTTTCGCTAATTATAAAGATAGATGAGACTAATGAGACAAAACCAGCCAGGAAACATATTTTGATAGATATATCTACAAGCAGGAAATATGCGCGAAAAAAGCATTATATCATATTAATTAGACTAATAAGCATTTTTATTGATTAAATGATTTTATTGTTTATTTTTAGTTTATTTTTAATTTATCACTTATATTTAAATTAATTAATGATTAATTAATAATGAGTTACTTTTATTATCACTTATATTTTAATTAATTAATGATTTACCTTTTTTTAATTTATTTAAGCGAATTTGTATGTCTAATAATATTTTTATAATATGATTTTAAGTTATATCTAAACATTTTAACTCGTAATAGAGTGATACCAAATTGTCTTAAAGTTTACAACAGAGAAAACATTAGATCAAATTTACGTATTTTGTACAATGGATAAAGTATTACATATTTACATAGTTTATACAATTGATAAAGTGCATACCAAAGACGCAGCCGCAAGAAAATGAATACCTAATTTTATTCAGTGTTTACTACACTAATAGTCTAACGATCATTCATCTAGGAAAACTATTTATTTTATCGCATCTAGTGTGCAGTCACATGATTATTGAGAAATAATTACAAACATCGATTAGATTGCATTAGAAAAGATACAGTCATGTTTTATATAATTCACTCCAACAAATGTAAAAAGATAAGAATAAATTAAAAATAATTTATAAAAATAAATATTTCGAAATAAATATATAAATACATTTTAGAATAGAAAAAATTCGAAAAATATAAACAAATTTGAATTAATTTTAAACCAAAAAAATAATCGAGAAAAATTGGGATAATATTCTATTACTGAATATTTCCATTGAATATTTTTTTCATTTTTTTCTCTCTGAGACATCCCTTTGTGTAGAATGTATAATGAATCGACGTCAACCGTCAATGAATTTACAATACTTCCGTTGTGCTCGTCAACATTGGGACAATGAAGATGTCTGCTAGGAATAACCCAACGCCTTCGAGCGCTTGAGTAGACATTTATGCATTATCTGAAAGACGCGAGTGTAAAACCATCACATATAATACTGTTGGAAATTCCCAAAGGAGTGGCAGAAACATACCATAGATTAGGGTCCAACCGCATAAAAATATATCTTTTTAAATACTCCCACCGCATACAAATATATTTTAAACCACTTCCTCGAGATAGCTTTTAATTCTTCGTAAGAATAACATGAAAATATTCTAATATCGGTATTTTTTTAAATCATAGATATTAACACTATAAATGTCCTAAAAAATTGCTCTCATTTTTTACCCGTGACTTTTCCTTTTTTTATTAATTCGCAAACGATGACATATCTTAACAAAAATTTATCACCAATGTGTAATTTACAATCTATTAACAATATGTTCGCAAATGAAACAAAACAAAAGTATGTAAAATATGTGAGCAACAAATTTCGCATTCTTCGTATAATTTTAAAATATAATCTTTTAACAGAATTGTTATTCAAAACATCAAGGATATTTAATATTCCATAATGACAAATCTCAATAGGAGATAATTTCTTTAAAGAAATTTTTAAAGCAAGATCAACTTAATTAAGGAATGCTAACTAAAAAGAAGAAATTAAAAAGAGGAAATATCTAGAGGAAATACCCTACACATATTGATAAAATAATTAAAATCAATTTTCCCGATATCTTCTGTGACGATATATTTTATCAAACGTTATATGCTGATATAGTATGTATATACAACGAAGAATGACGTTTCTGATAGCTGGAATTCCCACCTCCAAGTCAAATAATGATATGCTATTTTCACAATTACGTTCAATCGATTGAGCCTGTTTTTTTTTTCACGCTTATCTTACAGTTATGTTAATGCTTGTATGTTTCCTATCGTATAACGAGATATTGTCTAATGCCACATTTTGTGCTGCAAAATGTCATTAATTTCATGTTGCACTAAAAAACTCGCAGTAATAATAAAAATAAATTATAACATAAAGATCGATTGATATAATTTAATTTTGAATATTAAATGCATATAATATATTATAAATGCATATAATATATTATAATCTTAAATGCATATAATATATTATAATCTTTATGCTCATTTAACTAATAAAAAAATGCAATATTCAATATGATATTTTTCATATAAGCATCGAAAAATAAAATTTATCAATATTACATCAGTTTTAATCCTTATCATAAAGATTAAAAATTTTTATTTATTTATTCATTTATATGAACTACACATGAGTTTAATATGTCAATTATTTACATTTTAGCTGTTTTTCTTTACGGTCGAATTTTCCATTAATAATCATTAATTAATTAATAATATTAATTATGAAATTACTTTATTTAATTAGTGCAATTATAACAAATAATCCATTAATATACATCCATTTTAAAATAAAGGAAGTTGCATAAGAATTAGCATAAGAATTAGCATCTTGAGAAATTATTTCTTCGATAAAAAGTTCATGACATATTTATCCAACTTTTTATTTAACTTTTTATTTTATTTTTATTTTATTTTTATTTAATTGTTATATAATTATATAATTTTCTTTAATTGTTATATAATTATATAATTTTCACGTAATTATAAGTCTTATTTTATAATTCACAGATTTTCCAAAAAAAAAAAAAATATCTACTATTCTTAATTATCAAAACATCGCTTTTAAACAGGATTTAATCTTATCCTGAAGGTCATATGTGAAAGTAAAATCATCATCAATAGCTTATCACATATTGCACTTTTGTATCTTCTCCAATTTGTATGGAATGCAAACAAATAATAGTAATATGAGAAAAGTAAGATTATGCCACTATTAATTATTAAAAGAAACGCTTTTCGTTAATTACTGCCAGCATAATTAATAATTATTATGAAATTTGGCACTAATTATTCGATAATTACCTCAGTAATTATAAAGTTTTTGCAATTCACGTGTGGAAAAGTAATGTATTTGTAATTACAAGTTACGACAATTCATAGTCGATTAACAAAAGTAATGGAATTAATTACTTTAGAAAGGAAACCACTGTAAAATCTTTTTCACAAAAAATATATCCAATAATATTAATTAATATTAATTAATTAATACAACTTATTAAAGTTTTTCATTATTTTTTTCATTCTATTCATTTTTTATATCAATGGTTGAGATAAAAGAAATAAACGATATTAAATAATCTAAAAAAACATTTCGTAATATTAATACAACTAATGTAAAAAGATTTCTATCATATTTAATCTCATTGTTGCTTTTAAATTGACAAAATTAAATTTTTATTTACAAATATAAATGTATATCTACGTAAAAAAGTATAAATAAAAATACAAGCAAAAAAATCCATTCCTGATATATTTTTCAACAATAATACTCTTTTTAAGCCAAGAGGGAGGATAAATAAATACTCACCTGGAAGAAAGCGCAACAATACAATCCTCGTAAGGTCCTCGAAATGTCCTCGATCTGTGCGATTATCTCGATCGATTTACCGTTTCGACGCTACGACGTTTCAATGTCCTTTAGATATAGGCCAAGTTCAATTTATTCTTCACGTTGAATGTTGAGTGTATGGACACGATAATTATTTGAGAAGCTGGTTTTCAAAATAAAGCTCGTTATTTCGACGCTTTGTCAGACAAGCCTTACTCACGACACGTATCGCGTGGGTCACGCGAATACTAAGCGGGTACCGGTCTCGTCGATCTCTTTTATTCGTTACCCAGACCGTTGATAGTCAAGAGAGATATGGAGAGAGATGTGAGCGTAGCAAATACCACGATATAACTGGATGGAGGCTTGACGACACTGTGACTCACCAATCTCGCTCATGCTTTAAGCATAGTTTACACGATTCCTTCATCTCGTTTGCAAAAACGCACTGAAATAATTAACAGTTAAAAAAAAATTTACACACAAAGCGCCAGTGCACTGAGGGAAAAATTTTTTTTAAATCAAATAAATTTGTTTTCTTGAAACTTTTGCTTTAAATTCAAGGAATTGTTTATTTCATTTAATTTAAATTAAATATGCATGTTATATTAAGTACATTATTTTCATTTATATATTTTTTTATTTAAATACTATTTTCGTAAAATATATACTATAATTTATTAAATTAAATATATTATTTTTTAAAATTAAAAAATTTAATAATATTTTGGGAATAAAAATGCATTTTAATAAATATTTTGTAAAATTAAAATATAAACATATTTAATTGAAAATTATATTTTTTTAAGCATATATATTTTTTTAAACATATGTAAATAAATACTTAACTTACAAACTTACTTAACTTTAGCAAACAGACGTTTTGAATACAAGTAAATATGTGATTACTATCCACTGAATAAATAGCTTTCTTGAGTTGACTAAAATTTTTTTATTTCAAGATAATTTTTTCCTCAGTGTGAAAATATTGAAATGAGAACGTGTTTGTAAATAAAAAAAACTTGAGTTAAATTGGACGAATATTTATTAATACTTTATTTATTAATACTTTATTTATTAATACTTGAGATTACTTACACTTTCATATTGAGTGTCTTGCGTAATGCTCGATCTACTTTAGATTCATGCAGGCACCCTGGTAAAGCCACAATGAGGACGAATAAGGTGAGAACCATTTATCATCGGGATGTATTGCGTGTACTTGCGACAAAAATCCGTTTTCCTGCAAATGTATAGATCACAATATCATAACAACGATAACGTAGAATATATCATACGAGATACAAAACATTCTCTGCAAATATAAATTCCACTAAAATATGAAATTTAATTATCCAGCCGAATAAGTTGATCTCATATAAAATTAGTAAATAATCTAATAAATATAAATTTATAATTTGTAAATTTATAAATTATAATTTTTTTATAAATTATAATTTTTAATATGTTATATATAAATAATTTATATATAAATAATTTTTTCTTAAATTTAAAAGAAGTTATATATCGCTTTCGAATAAAATTAAATAAACACATGAATGTTCGGAATAATGACTAGTTATTCTCAAGATTCTGCGTTTTTGAATCATACATTTCGATTATTTATTTTATACAGATTACGCTTGGTTGATTATATGTATCACACGATGAGTGTATCGCGTAAATTCCTGAGCAAATACATTCTGTATCAACGCGCTTCATTGTATGCGTTTCCGTTTGTTTCATTCAACGCCTTTCCGGGCGGGCCGAAAAAGTTGCCTTTGTCGGGATCGAAATTAACAATTGAGCAACACATTTTCGTAACGTAAGCATTATAAATAATTATTGGGACATGTCTATCTCTTTTATACAAAAACATCAATTTATCGAAAAGAGCATTAATTTATTTTAAATTTATGCTCTAAAACTGTAAAATTATTAATTCATTAATTAATTATTTAATTTGTTAAAATTATTAAATAATAATTAAATAATAATAAAATATTAATATATAATAAATATTAAATAATAATAAAATATTAATAATTATTAAATAATTGAAAAATGAAAATAGAATAATTATTAATGAATTAATAATTTTTTTTATATTAAAAAAAATTATTAATTCATTAATCCATTATTTAATTTGTTAAAATTATTAAATAATAATTAAATAATAATAAAATATTAATGTATAATAGATATTAAATAATAATAAAATATTAATATATAATAAATATTAAATAATAATAAAATATTAATAATTATTAAATAATTGTTAATATCTTTTTAATGAAAAAAAAAATACTTTTATTGTGTGTTGAGAAAATTAAAATTTTTAAACCGATTTGAACAAAAACCAATGAATTGTTTTAAATTTTGAAATGCATACTAGGCAATAATCAAAACTTTCGACGAGACAAAAATCATCTCTATAATAGTTATTAAATTTATCTCTTCAATAAGATCATTAAAAAAGATGCTATCAGAAGTAAAAATTAAATAATTCACAAATTATATTAATATCGCTAGTCAATTAATGGAAGCATCATTGGAAATAATGTAATGGACCAAAACTAGCCAGAATTTTTGTTTATTAATTACAAAAATAAAATAAATAAATCAAACATTTCTAAAATGAAAAAATTTAACGTATGCTTTGATATAAAATAGATAAAGTTAATTTAAATCGGAAGTATCGTAATCCGAAACATTAAAAGACTTTCACCTGGCAAGTCGAATTATATACATCAATCGAATGCATTGATAAAACCATTTTTCATTATATTAAATGGAACTCACTGATTCTTTCCATTCTCTGCGAATGTAATAATTGAATTCTTAACTGTACTTATGCGAAATACGCACTTAATTATCGGACAAATTATACAGATTATCCTATCAAATTATATTATACGGATCATTTTTCCGCCCCTATTTACAATAAAGTTATCTTTTATCTTAATATTATATCATATACGTACGTAAATAAAAAATATTTATAATTTCTCAATATTACCAGACTGACAGCATTCTATCGAAATACATAACTGATATGTTTTCAAGCTGGACAAGTATTACACATGCGCAACAGCACGAGCACCGCCATTTATTACTATCCTATAAAAAATCGGAGCATTATTAGAAAGAGATAGTATATTTTTGATTGGAACTCTGTCTTTTTCTATATTATACTATCTGAACTACAAACATTTTTTATTAGATATTTAGCAAAAATGATACAGCGATTTTTAGAAAATGTCTTGATTTTATTTATGAATTTAAATAGCGTATAAAATAAATTAAATAGCGTATAAAATAAAATAAAAGTTAGTTAAAAAAAAAATATTTTATTTTCATAAAAGAAAAAGATTTTTACTTTTTATTTTTATCGTTTTTTTCAAGAAATTTAGTTTCATTTTCTTTTTATTTCATTCTCTTTTCACCTTTTGCTCTTCCTTCATCAGAGGTTTTTCAGCAATAACTTCTTAAGAAGCATTTTTCGATTCATATTTATAGGAAATTTTTTTACTCAGAATTAAATTTCCTATAAGATCTCAAAGTCTGGCTGGAACGTTCGGGGCCACCCTGTATAATTAATATTTTTAATTAATATTTTGAGGATGTATTGGTCTGTCTCAAAAGTTAATCCAAAGTATCAAAAAATTAAAATTGGGCAGAATTCTCACAGGGCACAAAATACTAAAAGACAACGAAAAGATGTCTTTTCTAAGTCGACTTTTGGACATGGCGAAAAAGACGTCTTATAGATGTCTTTTCGTCATGTCGAAAAGACGACTAAAACAAGACGTCCTTTCGTCGACCTTTTAAAGTCTAGAATTTGTACGTCCAAACCCAGACAACACAGGACATTCTATGGACATTCATTTTATGTCCATTTTACGTCCGCACGTTCATGGACATAAAATAAACGTCCATCGTACATCCGGTTTAAGACATCCGTTAACGGTCAATATTTGGACGTCCACAATTTGGATGTCCGGTCTTGGAGGTCAAAGTTTCTCGCAAGCACGCAAGCATGTATTAATTCGTTCGTTTACCGCTACGCGATGTGCGATGCGCTATCTTTCTCTTTCAATGTATTTAAGTTTCAGTTATTAGAAGATAGAGTTATAGAGAATTATATAAAGTTTGCAAAAGATAACAAATAAGATTAAAAATGTATTGTTCAATTTAATTTCTGATCTAAAGCACGGGTTTCAGATATTAAATTGATTTTATAAGTCGGACAAGTAAATGTCCGGCGAATAAACGAAAATAATTTTTCATTATCTATTTAAGATGTAAAGTGCAATATGCAAGTATAAATTATAAATAAAATTTTTATACAAAATTTTTATGTAAAATTTTATATGAAATAGATAAATTATATTATTATTTAGGGATTGAAATATATATGTTTCGTTTAAAAATTATGATATGATTTAGTCGTCTTTTAGTCATCTTTTAGTCATTTTTTGGCTTGACAGATTAATGACTAAATTCGGGTCATGAGCCGACTTTTAGTTGACTTTTTGTCGACTTTTCGTCGACTATTGTAACTAAAAGACGTCTTTGACGAAAATATGTCCAGTTTTAATCGTCTTTAAGACGTCTTTGTGCCCTGTGGGTTCTAATTGATCAAAAATTTTTTTAAAATCACGAAATCATACTTCAAAGTATTCTTTAATATAAATAGGTCTTAATTTCCAAGAAAGAAGAATTTCCATTTAAAGAAAATGTTGCCACGTTTTATCATCAATATTGCGTCGAACCGATAATCACAGTTATTTTTTAATAATATAATTTCAAAACGAGCAATTAAATCATTTTAAAACTTTGTGGGAACATTTTCACATATATGAAGAATATAATATTACAAAATGAAATTATCATTGTTTTTTTATAGTTTCTGAATAATTTATTACTTGTCTCTTAAACGTTTGCATAAGATCCTATATTAAAATCGCAAAATTAAAAAATTAATAACTTTTAAAGGAGTGAGTAAAAAAATTTGAAATAATTCATGACGATTTAGAATGTTATTAAGAATGTTAAGTTAAAAATTCACGATGATTTCATTGATTGTAATATATCTCTAATACATCCTTACCCAGACAGCCAGTGTTTGCTGATATCTAGATAAAATTATCTAGATAATCATCTAGATAAAGAAATGGATCATCTTTATCTTTAACTAGATGAAGAAATACAAAGTATCTTAGATGAAAAATATATGTCTTATCTAAAAATTGTCTAAGATGACGATTCATTATGCAAAAAAGTTTTCCAAAAATCTAAAGCAAGCTTCTAAAAATCTATCTAAAATATCTAAAATATATTTTTTATATTATTATTATTAATATATTATAAATATATTATAAACATATTATAAATATAAATTAATAAATAAATATTTATCATATCATTTATATACCTTTTTGCTATTATTTAAATATTCTTTAGGAAAAGAGAAAGAATATGTGTTTATGCTAATATCCCATTTATAATCTGCGTCACATTTTTTAGAAATATTTATAGTCTTCTAAAATAAACAAAAATATCTAAATAATTATCTAGATTATCGCAACAATTATCTCATCTTTCTTCTAGATTAAGTAAAAGCAAAATCATCTTTATCTCATCTAAGATAAATTAACAGATTTTTATCTTTATCTTTATCTAGATAATTTTGAAATTATTATCTACAGCAAACACTGCAGATAGCACAAAAAGGCCAAAAGATGTCTTAAACATTGTCTAAAGGATTTAGGACGTCTTTAAGTCGTCTTTTAGATGTCTTTTCGACATGTGCTCTAATTAATATTTGCCGAATTCTTTTCACACCCGCAACATCGGAAGGAGGAAGACGATTCTGAGATCCCCCGCCGCGAACGCTCGCTCGCGGTAAACGAGCGCACTATTAACGGTGTCACACTACTACTACGTTTCCCGCCAACATGGCAAAGATGTCGGCGCTCGTGTCGTTTCCCGCCAAGCCCCCGCGGCAACCTCGACACGGCGGAGCGAAGTTTTTGTATGGCGGTATAAGAGACTTTTCTCCGCGGTTTCTCTGAACTCCTTCTTGGCTGGAAATTACGGCGCGGAAGATGGGGCAGTCGGACGATGTCGAGGACTCGACGTACAGTCAGCACCAGGATCTCTGCCAGAAGCTAAATATGGACGCGACCGCTGCGTCCGAGGCCTGGAAATCCTACGAAACTATCCGGCAGAACTACACTCTCGAGGTGGCATTTACTTCGTAATAAGCCGATAATCTCTCGATTACTTCCCCTCTCGATGCCCCGAAACCGTGCAAATCGTCGATATCCCGCGCGAAGAAAAAAGAGGAAGCGAATAATGTTGATCGATTCTCTATTTTACGCATTTATTTCAAACGCAATCGATGACGATCTATTTAATCGGAAGTTCGCGTTAAGAATGTTTATTAATAATTTTTTTTTTGCAATACTTTTGTATATTTTTAATAGTTTATTTAATAGTTTATTTTTAATAGTAAATATGTTGTTGCATTCTGGTGAGAAAAAAAAAATTTTTAAATTTTTTACCTTAAACAATAATTTGGGGAAGCTTATTAATTTTTTTATAATAATAGTAAGTTGTTTCATCTTGCTTTATTCCTTGATAATATCTTGTTTCGTTGGTGTAAAAAAATTTTGTTTGCAGGGGGATCAGTTGCATTGGATAGGATGTGCGTTGTATGTAGCTTGTAGAAAATCCTCCACACCCACAGTTGGGAGAACAGGTGCTAATGTAGAAGGCAATTGTGTATCGCTGACGCGTCTCCTGCAATTGTGTAATCTTCCATTGATACAGTTCTTTACAAAGAGCAAGTCATGGGCGGATATGGCCAACATGCCGCAAGACTTTCGTACCAAGATACAAAAATTAGAAGCAAATTTCTCAGTGTCTATGGTTATATTTAAAAAGTACCAACCAATATTTACCGATATATTCAAGGATCCAAAAGAAGATATCTCTAGACCGCCTAGATCCAGAAGGCATAGAGCGATACCCTGCACGCCTACCAGAGTTTTTGAATTCTGTTGGACGCTATTTATATGTATAAAAGGTGCAATTCCTGATATCTCGGACGATCTTGTTAATTCTTACCATCTTTTGTTGGTCTGCTGTGATCTTATATATAGTAATGCTCTATTATCTAACAGAAAAGATTTATTGAATCCAAACTTTCCTGGTAAGTATTTGTCAAGTTAGTTTTAAACCAGACACATAAATTACATTTTGTGATAAATAATTTTACATAATTTTGTTTTTCTAATTTATAGGCTTACCAGCAAATTTCAATGATGAAAATTATATTCCACCACAAACAGCAAACTGCATTATTAGTTTGTTGTGCGAACGTCATGAAGCAATAGCTGTCGAAGCTAAAGTTATAAAGGAGTATTGCATGAAAAATTATATCAACAAACTGTTTAATGAGAGAATCCTACGTGGTGATCAATCAAACTTTTCTGGTATATTAGAAGCATTGAATTTTGATGGCAATAGTAAAGCTGTTAACAAAGCTTATGAGCAGCGTGTGTTGAGTGTTGGAGACTTTGATGAAAGAATTTTCTTAGGTAATTGTTATTTAATAATTCTTAGAAAACTATTTCTTTGCATATCAGTTATTATGCACAATATATACATACACAAATATATATATATATATATAAGATTAAGAAACACATACATGAAGAATTAAATACATGTATTGCTGTAAGCTTGCATTAATTTTGCATGTCTTATGCTAGCTTATATCGCTTTTGTAAATATTTATGTAAATTTAGCAAAAACCTGTGTGCTACGTGATTAATAATTATTTGCAACTTTAATTCTGTTAAATTTTCATGATAATTTTATTTAATGTCATTTTACTATAACTATCAGTTGTTTATACTATAGTATTTAATTTATAAATTATAATGAAGCTACCTGAATTTGTAGATTGATAATTTTTTTCTAGAAAAAAAGAAAAGTTTAAGAAAAATGTTCCTAGTAATTTATTTATTTCAAGTTTTTTTTTTATTTTTTGCTCTGAAAACATTTTATCTTTTGCTTTTAAACATATTTGTGTATCTGCTTTGTTGTGACTGTGCTTTGTGCAGCGGATTGGAGAAGAGTAAATTTGAGCAACATATCAAATTTGGATATATCTGGCCAAGACACTAGTAAGCATGACCAGTTTGCTAAAAACGTAATCTTAAAAGGTGGGATATAAAAATAATATAAAATGAGTAAGATATAAAATTCTTTTGTTGAGTGGGTGTTTTTGACATTTGAGTAATTAAACTAATTTCTTTTGGCTATATTAATGCCACATTTTTCAATATAATTACACAAATACTAATTTTAATAATACTTTATAATTGTATTGTATACTTTATAATACTTATAATTTGTTTCAGGCCACGATGCTAGTGAAAACATTGGTTCCCCTACGCAAATAAATATTGACGATTTTCATGAAAGATTGCAAATGAAAAGGGAACAGCATGCTGGGGTAAGTTTTAAGAATACTATTTCTATAGGAATGTAATATATTCTTTTATGTATAATAAATATTACATATGTAACTTTTTATTTCTTTTATAGCATATACAGTATCTAGCACCTCCTACACCATTGACTGGCCGTAAATATCTTCGATCAAAAGATATGTCTAATATAACACCAGTGACAACAGCGACTCAAAGTGTCATCAAGTTGCAAGCTCTGATAGCTGGTCAATCTACTCCAAGTGAAGGTCTATTACAAATGCTGAGCAATTGTTCTCAAGATGTTAAATCTTCAGTCGAGGCAAAAGTTAAACAGATTGGTGAACAATTTTGTGCAAATTATAATAACAATGTAAATGATGGTTCGACATCCGATTTTGGAAAAAAGCGTTTTGTCATGGGACAAACCTTATTTTACAAATTATTAGAAATGATTTTAAATGACGAAAAGCGTAAAAAACCGAATGACGATATAACTGTAAGTTTATATAAATTACGAATATCGAGAAATTATTCCAGTTATATATATTTATATATTAATATTTGTCTGTTACAGAATCTTCTTTTGAATGAAGTCTTCATTCAGTGCCTGTTTGCCTGCTGTCTCGAGATAGTTATTTATTCTTACAAGAGTAACGATAAAATATTTCCATGGATATTAAAGGCTTTAAATCTAGATGCATACTATTTTTATAAGGTTATAGAAATTATAGTAAGAGCTGAAGATCAATTGTCACGAGATGTTGTCAAGCATTTGAATCAGATCGAGGAAAAGATTCTAGAGTCTCTGGCTTGGCGAAGCGACAGTCCTCTCTGGCAAACAATAGAATCCTTGCCTGACGGTGTGCCGAGCTGCGAGGAAGTTTCCTTACCTGGCACCTTGGAAACCGTCGATCCAAATACTCCTGGCCAACCTGTATTAAGACGGATTGCTCTAGATCGGGATCGTACTCATCATGACGTTCAACAAAGTCCGATTTCGTCTGCTTCAGAAAGGTATAATATATTCGATTAATTAAAAGAATAGAAAATCTAGTTAAAAACTTAATTTTTTTCAGAAATTAAAATTATACGATTTATTAGAAAATTTATATATACGATTTATTAGAAAAAGATTATTAATCAGTATTATAGAAAAGTTATACGATAAATTTGAGGATATATACAGGGTGTTTCAGATCACCCGCACCATCTATTTAAAAACTAGAGAAGTGGTTATTTCAAAAACTAGAGAAGTGGTTATTTCAAAAAAGTAGAAACATTTTCTTTATAAATCAGGTGCGCTCTATCGAATGGTGATCTTTTCAACTTCTGGTTCCAGCCGCAAGTGCATTTTTTTTAATGGAATCCCCTATTTTTCCTATTGCATATTCTTGTAGCTTATCTCGAGAGCTTTCCAAAATCCTATAATAAATTATTTTTCCATAAAGTACTTTTCGAGTTATGAGGCTTGAAATCATTTCTTAAAAAATGGGTGATACGGGTAGTCTGAAACACCCTGTATAATTGTAATCATCATAATTACATGATAATAGCAATTATTAAATTTTATTGTTTTCTCCAAAAGTTAATTAATTTGTAAAATAATTTGAAGGATCATAATAATTTTCAAATTTCATTGTTATTTAATTTTTCATTAAGAAAGATATATATTGAATTTTTTTTATTTAGATTTCAGTCTCCTATCGCAGCATCTGGTATAGCAAAGAAGCGATTATTCCCCGAGACTAGAGTTACCGGTCAAAGTGTTCTAAGAGTCGGGCAAAGTGTATTATCTTCCAATAGAGGAATGTTAATAGATAACCAAAGAATACTTTTGGTTGATCAAGTTGCTGTATCGAGAACACCAGGCACGCAAGCATCGAATAATTCTACTATACAAGCTATACAAGGAACGAATAGAGAGACTACAGCTAGACCGAGGAGAACAGGTTCTGTAGCGTTATTCTTTCGAAAGTTTTACAATCTTGCATGCGTTCGCATGCAAGATTTGTGCAATTCGTTAGAGATATCAGACACTGATAAAAAGAAGATATGGACAATTTTTGAATATTCCATCAAAGAACGTACTGAACTAATGAAGGATCGACATCTCGATCAAATCTTAATGTGTGCAATTTATGTGATATGTAAACTCGTAAAGATGGAAAAGAACTCATTTACCGAAATCATGCGTTGTTATCGTCTGCAACCGCAGGCAGAGTCACATATATATAGATCGGTGCTTATAAAAAAAATTACCAATGACGCAGACTCGACGGCAAGCAGTAATAATGAAAGACCGGAGGATAATAGTAATTTAGTAGAGAACATAACTCCGCCGACTCCGACAAATATGGCTGGGACATCGCAAAACTTTGACGGAGAGGAACGAGGCGATCTAATCAAATTTTACAACACAGTATATGTGCCACAGGTCAAAGAATACGCGAATAAATTTGGATCAGCTCGCGGTAACGTCATGAATCTCTCATTGAGTCCTCTACCAAAAGGAAAAGCGCCCGCTAACTCTCCAGTGAGGCGTGTTACCAGTAGTATTATGACACGTACCCTAGATCCGAAGGCTATTAGTGCATCACCGGCACCACAATTAAGTTATTGCTTCAGCCGTAGTCCTGCCAAGGTAAAATTCTGTTTAATCTAAATTTAAGTTTTATCTCTTTAAATTTTCAAGATGCTAAAACTTTTCTCATCTTTATGCAAGGTGTCGCATTTTAATTTGGACAGTAAAATATCTTAAAAACTAAGCCCAGCAAACAAAAATATTTCAGACAAAAGTTGTATGGTTTCGAGGGGGACATAAGATAGTATCAGTATTAGTTTGACTTTGAAGAGTTATTTGAAGGTCACATGAAGGTCACCTTCAATTTCTTAAATGGAACCTACATTTTCTCATTACATATTCTTGTAGTTTATCTCGAGAGAGCTTTCCAAAGCACTATAATTAAGTACCTTTTCGTTAAGTACTTTTTGAGTTATGAGGCTTGAAATCATTTCTTAATTTTAATTTTACATAAATATTTTACATAAATATCGTAAAATATCTTGTAAAATATTCATTTTTCGATTACCTCACCTTAATACTTTTATGTACAAAATAATGAGAGGAATCAATTGGTGTAAAGAAAACATACAGTTGTTTTTAAGAAAAAATATGGAATTGTTAATTGCAAATTACATAATTTTTCTTAGAAACAACTATGTATTTTCTTTACATCAATTGATTCCTCTCATTATTTTGTATATAAAAGTATTAAGGTAAGATAATCGAAAAATGAATATTTTACAAGATATTTTATGGTTTATGTAAAATTAAGAAATGATTTCAAGCCTCATAACTCAAAAAGTACTTCATGGAAAAATAATTTATTATAGTTTTGGAAAGCTCTCGAGATAAGCTACAAGAATATGTAATGAGAAAATGTAGGTTCCATTTAAGAAATTGAAGGTGACCTTCATGTGACCTTCAAATAATTCTTCAAGGTCAAATCAATGGTACCATCTTATGTCCCCCTCGAAACCATACACCTTTTGTCTGAAACATTTTTGTTTGCTGGGCTTAGTTTTTGAGATATTTTACTGTCCAAGTTAAAATGGGACACCCCGTATATATGTATATATATTATGATATATTTCCTTCTTCCTCTTTTAGGATTTAGAAGCTATTAATAAGATGATGATATCTGTAGATGCGAAAAAGAGCGTAGGAAAGCGATTACTTTCCGATGATACAGATGTAGAAATGACGGAAGGTACATCTCCTAAAAAAACTGCGACCTTTGTCGCGCGAAAATTAGAAAATATCATTGGGGAACGACGAACGCAAAATCAATAAGCGGAATGTGGTAAAATAATAATATTAATCATAACTTACAAGGATAAAAAGCTTGTTTGATCTGCTTATTTACACACTTGAATTAGTTCACAAAAAGCAAAGAAATCTACCTACACAAAGCAGATAAGAAATCTAATTTTTTGTTTATGTAACGTAAATGTAAATCAGATATTGCTTCTCAGGTCATTCTAGCAAATATTGGAACTCATAAAATATCGTTCACATTATATATGAATGCTATAATGTTGTTTGTAATTTTATTTAATGTAAAAAAAGTCAGAATTCAATTTCCAGTATTGTTGGGGTTGACTTTTTTCTGTCGAAGGAAAAAAACTCCCTCTCGCGTCCCCCTCGGACTTTGCCACTCGAATTTTGGGGATCCGCTTCCGCAAAATTTTCCGGGGTTTGGGGTTGACTCTTATCAAAGTAAATTTTTCTTTCTTTCTCTTTTCATTTTTTTAAATCTTATTTTATAACTTCCTAAATTAAATTGTCTTTCAAGTCGTATAATACACTGGAATATGGAATACAAAAATATGTAAAAGATAAACTAGAAAATATGCATAACTGCACTTGCTACATGTTTTCATTAACATACTCTTTTAGAATTAATTGAAAACACAAACATCATGATTTTTTGAATTTGCCTATTGTTACTTTTTGATCATGATTGTTACATAAAATTATATTTGTGATAAAGTTACAAAATCGACATTCACACACATGCACACACCTATGTAGTGATAATTAGTGTATATAAAACTACTGATAATTCTATAATAGCCAATGATTTTATATAATCACCAAATCAATCATTTTTTCAGGATAGCATATATTTAAAAAATTATTGTTTAAATAGGAAAAAGGATATTAAATAGAAAATTTGCAAAAAGTATATAATAGTAGTATTATTGTGACAATTATAATTCACATTATGATATATGGACTAGTTTATCACCATCAACAAATATTTTAATAATAGATGTTTGGATTAAAAAATCCAAAATTTATTTTTCTTAAAAATTAAATTAATTATTTTTATAACCGTTAATATTGGTTATATCATGTTAATTAAATATTGAATGAAAATTTTACAAGGTTCACACAGAATATAATATTATATTTATTTTTATATTTGAAATTTAATTTGTTTGAAAGCTTTTCATCATCCCTTGATGGTTCACATAAAGACTATTGAAAAAGATTCATTACAATAATTATCTTTTTATTCCATTTTTTATTTTTTTGTTTGTTGAATTGTAACATCTACCATTAAAAAATTATTCAGTTGCAGTCAAACAATCCATATACATAAATACTTTGAGTTTGTAAAATAAGTTAAATAAAAAAATATATTAATTATAAATAGCTTTTGTTTTTGATTGTTATAATTAAGACTCTCATTGCACATCTTAAAAGTTAAGCTAGTCAATATTCTTGAAACATTATTTGATTCATAACATTCGTGCACTGGAAATTGTTCTGACTATTCCAAGTGAATATATTATGATTTGTCATTAAAATCATTACTTTTTTATTTTTTTTTTTGTAATTAAAAGATATATAAATAAAGTCTATAAAAATATAGTTGCAGTCATATTTGATAGTAATTATTTTAACAATAGATTTAAGCTCGCCGTGGGAAAAGCAACAAATATTTGCACAGCAAATACAAATATCATCAGCGTCGGGTAATAAAATTTCATTAAAATTAATTTTTTTTTTTATAGAAGAACATGGATTTAATGTAATAATTTCATGTAAAATCACATACTTATATTTATCACACAAATGTATCTTCTATTTCGAAATGTAAGTTATTTTTTTTTAAATTTAATTTATCAAAAGTTAAAAAACTTAAAGTAGATATATAAGTATTTCTAAATTCGATTTTCTATGATCTCATTAATTTGCCATTTATTATCGAACAATGTATAAAATGACTTATAAAATAAGGATGGCAATTATTATATTTATTGCATTGAAAAAACTTTGTAACTCGAACTTAATATAATTGAATATTAAATCGCAAATTGAATACTTTAATGTAATTAAATATAAATATTCGTTATGCATGAGATAATTGTGTTGCTTATTTTTGTTTGCATTGTTCTATATAGCAGAGAATATTGTTTACGTATTTTAATTATTGTCACATTTTTTTTATCAATCATAATGAAATATATACGAGAATGCTTCGTTCAACGAGCTTTATCATACGTTTTTATCTTTAAAATTAATTTATACTGTATTTTTAAAATAAGATTTGATGAAAAAAGAATATATAAAATCACTTTTCATTACATGATTTGCATATGCAACTAATAACAAATACTTTTAACTTTTAGTTTTCTTTATAAATAAATAGTACAAAAATCTTTATTAACATGTGATCTACTACTATAGCTTTCATGTATATACTATTATCATACACACGCAGAAGTAAATCGACGATTATTAAAAAGATATAAACTTTTCTTTTTTTTTATAAAATGTGAACATTATCCATGATTAAAATTTTATTACAAGAATATCATAGAATACACATGCATATAAAATTTCTGGACTTATTTCTATATAACGCGATTCATATTTTACTTAATATTAAGAAACACGCACAATATGTTTTGTGAGTTGAGTCTTTATTAATCAAAATCAAATTCAAATCTTATAATAACAATTCTCGCTTGCGTTTTGTGTATAAAATATATTACAATATGTATATATACATAAGGAAAATTCCTATAAATTTAAGATAGGCCTCAAGCCTAGCTCGATGTTCGTAGGGGCGTGTTTATTTAATATATATATTTTTGTATGTATATGAACATACTATACGTATCTCTATATACAATATATGTAAATGGACATATTACATGTATATTATGATATATGATGTATGTATATGGACATACTTCTCACAATGCATGATACATTAACTTTAGAAATTCCAAGTATGATAAATATGTTGTATATTACACAATTTGAGCTGCTGATCATTAAAATATGTTACTGACTGCTGAAGCAATGTCCCTCGAAATTCTCGCGAACTTATTTACAAAGAATGATGAGAGCACGCACTAAATGAGAAAACAAACTTTCGACTATATTTTTACCCATTTTCCATAAATTACCAAACTCGATAACTCATAATGATATATTGGCACAAATGTCGGATACTTCGATTCGCACGTTAAGAAATTATTTCCTCGGTCCATCACATCTGCATATGTACATAATACAGACCAAGTTCACAGTTGATCGATTATTAAAATTATCGAAATACAATATTATTCCGAGTCATTACGCTTCGAAATACAATAAAATATAAAATGATTCGGCATATAATTATTTTTTATTCTAATTAAACCTCTCAACAATTATTTTGTAATTTCAATGAAAATATATCAAAATCTTACAAATATTCTATTGCTATATATTTGCAGTTGTGACATTAAATTTTAATGCACTATAACTGCATAATATCAACTAATTATTGTTATATGATTTTATATGTAAAAAGTCACAAATGTTTTTCCATTGTGTTATTCAATATAAATCATACTTACTCAATCTTTTTAAAATTAAAAACACGTGATTATACAATTGATACAATATACAGTAGATTTCTATTTGACAAGTCATGGACATTTTTGTAAGAATGTACAAGCATTAGAATTATCATTTACAAGTAGCAAAATATATACATCGTGCCATATTATCCTTTGCTAATATTTTAAAAATTTGATTGAAGGAGAAATGACGATTCATTGATGCCGCAATAATTCTCTTTATGAAAATAACTCTGTTATTCTGATTTAATCAGTTTTGTCTTCCACCAGAAGAACATTCGAATATTTTGGGAAATCTACAGCATCAACGGGATTTTTAACTTTGAAACTAGGAAATAATCCTGTCATGCTAGTTCTAGTGTTGTATCCTTTCGAGAAACCATCCCAATGATTACCGTAAACTTCAATCAGGTCGCCAATTTTCATTTCTAACTCTCCGTTTTTCCTCGGTTTGTGATCTAAGATAGCTACATGAGGATGCGGATTTTGTCCCCCGTAGTAATATATATCGTCGAGGGATGAAAATCTATCGTATGCATCCGCATAGTAGGTTTGCATTAATTCATATGCGACACGACATACTTGAGAACTAAATGTGCACACCAAATAGTCGCATTCGGATAGAAGTTGAATGTCGATAATTATCCCCTGCAACGAAACGTCTGAATATCGCTTCGCTACAGATGCGGTTTCGGCGATATCTGGATCACCTATTATCTCGTAATTCGTATAACGTTTTCTAGCTGTTGTTATCACTTTTGGGTCATCGCTAGCTAAAAAAACCCTCTTCACATCCGGCTTGGTCTCAAGCTCGTCGAAATACTGTTCTACTTTACTCATATATTCATCTATATCATGATAAGCTGCCTCTGTACCTACTTTATCGGTTCTACGTACATGAACACCAACAATAGGTTTCTTGAAACCAAGTCTCTCCCTTGCCTTCTCTAATGTTCGTTTCACATGATCTTGAGGTCGCATCAAGTATTTCAATACCTGCCCTACCCACCAAACTAGAGGATGACCATGGATTTTTTCTAATCTTGGTGCTAAGTCTGCAGGTACACTAGGTGGCTGGAACCTTGGTTTTGGATAAACATTGTCTACTATTGGCAGGGATATTACTTGTTTAGAAGGATCACCAGGCCAATTGGAATGTGAAACACCTGTTGTAGATAAGCAAGTATTACTGAGAGGTTTGAATACAGATTCCCAGCCTTCCTTCTGATACCTCCATCCTTTAGATTTTATTATCAATGTCCTTTCTGTACCATAAGCTACTAGAAAGCAGTACGTGATGTGATGAATCTGCAAATGGGAAAGCATCCATTTATTTCATTTGTTCCATTTAAAGATCTAATTAATATAATTTAATCTTCTTACCTGGCAGCCAAAGCCGCATCCTTTATTTAAACTACATATCAATTTTTTCGCTTTACTACAATCGGCAGGATTTTGCAGATATCTTTAAATTAAATACAAAATGTACAATCAGATTCGAGAAAATACACGTAGCTATAGATTAGATTAGATTAGATTTGCAAAATTGCTTTGCATTATATTATATATTTCAATATTATATAATGACAAATTGTATGTTACCTAAATCTTTTTTGAACAAGATCGGATAAATCTTTTGCTTCTTTTTTTCGCCATTCCTCATAACCATCTACTTTCTTTAGTTTATCGATATTTGTTAAAAGTGACTTTTTGTGTTCCCATACATTTTTCAACACATCTTGAATCTCTCTCTCCCTTTGATCGTATGTAAATTCATCAATGTGCTTTTTAAATTTGTTTAATTCGGCGCTAATGTAATACCTGCAATATACGATTAAATAGATCATCTTTTCAATAATATAATATATTTGATTTCAGTTGATCATTATTATATTTACCATGTCTCCTGAATATCGTTTTTTAATCGCCTTCGTAATTCTTCGTGCTCTAAAGAAGGAACACCATGTTGCGCACCATCTTGGTGTTCTATCAGGTCATAATAAGCCGACACTTTCCCGACTTTATCTTGTATGGAACCTAAATGATCGCCCTGTATAGATTTTGGTCCTTCTCTGGAAATTATGTTAGCCTATACAATGAAAAGATCGTAATGCTCCATGTCTCAAAGTTTATATCTCAATGTTGATAAATTTTTCTGTTCTCCATAAATTTTTGTATGCAAACATACCCCAATATGAAGTTCTTCAACGCATCGTTTTGCTTCTTTAGAATTTCAAAGTCATTAACCATTTGTGCTAGGCGTTGTGTGTTCTCTTTATTGGCAGTACTAGCATCTCGGCTCGACAAGGAGTTCAACTTAAATATATGAACGATTGATAGAATTAATACGAAAAACCACGTGATCAGCAATGCTATTCCAAGCTTTCCCAGCCAACCAGGTCGTCCGGAACAAATCGCCAGCATTTTGCACAGAGTACTTTCGCTTGTGATGTGTCACAACATTACGATATCTGAAAATATAGTTAAATATGGAAAATTAAATTAAATTAAATTTAATTTAAATTAAATTCAATATGAAAATTTAAATTAAATAAACATGCTTAACTTAGATTTCTCTTATATATATATATATATATATATATATATATATATATATATATATATATATATATATATATATATATATAAACACAAAAAAATATGTATATAAAATTTTTAATATTTACTAAGTAAATTTTCATATGTTTTTCATCGACACATCTCGTTAAAAGCAACATTAGCTTTCTCTCGTTTTTTCGTTGCTTATTGGATTTCTATTTAATAAGGTACGCAGTATCGTTACAATAGAATTATTGTTCAAGAGGAAATAGAAAAATAAATACAAGCTCCTAGAGACAAACGGAGCAAGGCGTTAATTACTTCCGTTTATACTCGCAATCTGCCCATGATCGCTCTAACCTCCGTATCGTCTATATTTCGAGCTTGGAACGCACACGTATGCATGCAACATGTCACGAACGACGAGGTGACAGATCGTCAGCTGTTGCACCGGAATAAATATGGAAACTCGGAAAATGCGAGAAAAAATTGCACGAGCGCTCAATCTCGGACGATTAAATACAGGGTGTCCGAGGAATCCATCGTATCCGCGAAATTGTCACGTTGTTTCGTTCCCTCGGACGGAAGGATTGTAAGGATCGCCGTTATCCTCGCATCTCAACTCGAGTGAAATTATCCTGTTATCAATTTTTTTTTTCTTCATTTTTTTCGCATCGTGCATTCTGGTTTAACTGCTTTTCGTACTTACGTGGTCGGCCACTTGCACGTTCCGCCGATTTACGAAAGATGCGACGCTTATCTATCATCTGTCACTCTCGCGCTGTCAGGAATTGACACGTTCCATCCGTTGGGCCGTTTACTCCCGCGTTGATTACCCGCTCCATCTCGGACTGGAACGATATATATCGGGTGTTATCGGATTAGCATAATAGGGGACAGCTAGGCATCGCGTGCGTTGCCAATGTTAGTCGGTGATAACGAATTCAACGGTCGTCCTGGAGGCTATCGGGGAGAGAGAATGTATAGTTTGTGGATTTATGAGATGCATAGTAAAAATGAGGTTTTTTAGAAAGCATGGATGACGTATCGCGCCGCGTAATATTTCGCGAATTATTCTGCTTTGATTTGAAATCTTAACGATAAATTTTCTTTGATTCTGATCGTGTTTACCTTGACAATTTTATTTATATTTCGATTGTATATTAATTCGGTGCAAATTAAAATCCTTATATCTTGTGAACGCTTTAGTCGATTTTAAAATTGTACCGAAGATTCTAAACATATGTAAGAATATTCTGTACAATTTTCATTAAATTCTCAATATTTTGAAAAGGTACAAAACATCCTTAAACAATTTCGATTTAAACATTTAGTGCAAAGTCTCTGCTTTTCAAAAAGAAATATTCATTAAAACACAAGTAAAATTTTATGTGTGAATTAAAATAAGATGATCTACGTCTCTGAAATTTAATTCTTCAAAATTTAATTAGGTAAAGATCTAATTTTTTAAAATTCTCCTTATTCTGTATGATTAATATTTTCCTATCTCTTAAAAACATTCTGTACAATTTTCATTAAATTCTCAATATTTTGAAAATAGATATATCCTTAAACAATTTCGATTTCAAAATTTAGCGCAATGTCTCTGCTTTTCAAAAAGAAATATTCATTAAAACACAAGTAAAATTTTAAATATAAATTAAAATAAGATGATCATTGATCTACGTCTTTGAAATTTAATTCTTCAAAATTTAATTAGGTAAAGATCTAATTTTTAAAAATTTTCCTTATTTTGTATGATTAATATTTTACTATTTCTTAAAGATATTCTGTACAATTTTCATTAAATTCTCAATATTTTGGAAAAGTACAAAACAATTTCGATTTAAAAATTTAGCGCAAAGTCTCTGCTTTTCAAAAAGAAATATTCATTAAAACACGAGTAAAATTTTAAGTGTGAAATAAAATAAGATTAATATGATTATTGATCTACATCTTTGAAATTTAATCCTTCAAAATTTAATTAGGTAAAGATCTAATATTTTAACATTCTCCTTATTCTGTATGATTAATATTTTACTATCTCTTAAGGACGTTCTGTACAATTTTCATTAAATTCTCAATATTTTGGAAAGGTACAAAACATCCTTAAACAATTTCGATTTAAAAATTTAGCGCAAAGTCTCTGCTTTTCAAAAAGAAATATTCATTAAAACGTAAGTAAAATTTGAAGTGTGAATTAAAATAAGATGATCATTGATCTACGTCTTTGAAATTTAATTCTTCAAAATTTAATTAGGTAAAGATCTAATTTTTAAAAATTCTTCTTATTCTGTATAATTAATATTTTACTATTTCTTAAGGACATTCTGTACAATTTTCATTAAATTCTCAATATTTTGAAAATAGATACAAAACATCCTTAAACAATTTCGATTTAAAAATTTAGCGCAAAGTCTGTTTTTCAAAAAGAAATATTCATTAAAACACAAGTAAAATTTGAAGTGTGAATTAAAATAAGATGATTATTGATCTACGTCTTTGAAATTTAATTCTTCAAAATGTAATTAGGTAAAGATCTAATTTTTTTCAAAATTCCTTATTCTGTATGATTAATATTTTACTATCTCTTAAGGACATTCTGTACAATTTTCACTAAATTCTCAAAATTCTGAAAATAGGTACAGAACATCCTTATCTCAAAACGATGATCGCGCGTGTCGAGAAAGAAATTTATCGTGCTCATGTAACATTTAAATTTTCGCGCCATTGAGACAGCCATCTTTCCTTCTCCGCGTCAAGTGTGATCGCAGATGGCGCTGCGCATCCGTCTCTGTCGGCCCGAATAAAAAATTGAATTTTCACTGCGGTTACAAATCGTCCGCGAGGCTCGCTTTTTTTTTCCCAATTCTCAACTCGTCGAGTGTCGCGTCGACACGTCAAAAAGCGTACAAGCGAGGGGTTTCTTTTTAATCGACGCGAATCACCGGAAAATCTCCCGAGGATCGAGGAACGCGATGCAAATTGGCGCGACGCAAAGCACGAGATAAACCGAAACAAGTACGACACATTAACCGTCCGTCTCCCTCCTCCTCCCCCCTCCTCATCCGCCTCCCACTCCGAAAAATCGCGCACGCAGCATCCTTGCGCGCGAAACACGCGTACGCCGGTGGACGCACATCGTGTGTCTATGGCTCGCGTGGCTGTACATACCTGTGAATAGTGTATTTTAAGCCTTAGTTTTAACGAAATGACCGATTGAAGGAGAGGGCGAGAGAGGAAGAATCGGCGCGAGACGGAGAATATATACGTGAGAGCGACGCGGAGGAGGAAGAGGAGGAGGAGGAGGAGAAGAAGGAGGAGGAGGAGGACCGAGAGAGAAAGAGAGAGGCAGAGAAAAAAAGAGGGTGATCGTGGGACAATCGCATTCAAAGGCATTCGAGGCGAGGTAAATTTCGTGCATCGAGACGACGAAGCTTCCACGCGTTCCGTGAATCTTCCCCCCTCTCTCTCTCTCTCGCTCGCATGCGCGCACTCCCTCTCTCTCTCTCTCTCTCGCGCAATCTTTCCCGTTCTCCCGCTTCCCCCCCTCTCTCGCCGCCGACGTGCACGCAGTTGTCGTCTCTCGCTTGTTTCATCCTTCTTTCCTTCCTTTTCGTCGTCGATCGGGCCGTTCGTTCGTACATACGTCGGATCTCGCGTCCACGGTTTCCTTTGTGTCCTCCCTCTCTCTCTCTCTCTCTCTTTCTCTTCGGGTCCGAGCGTACACAGTGTTGTGAAAAATCCGGCAGCAGCGCGCACAGCTGCCATTGCTGTAATTATCTGCTTTTTCGCTCGCAGCAGTCCTCTCGGAAGCGATATCTGGTCACCGCTGCCGTCTCCACGTCCAGCGACCGAGGCCACCCCATCTTCTTCGTCGTCGTCGTCGTCGTGGAGACCTAGAGATGCGGATCATGCTCGCGGAACGGCCGTAACGGAGGCATCATCCTCGGCATCTCGCCAGAGACGCTCTCGCCGGCTCGCGCCGTACAAGGGTTAACCTTCAGGAGGCCCGAGGGTGCGCTCCCTCCCTCCCACCTGGCCAGCGCGGTGAGGCCGGAGAGTCCCGGCGCGACTTGACAGCACGAGACAGGCATGAAGTGGCTCGGCGCGAGCAGCGGAGGCGCCGGGGGCGAACCGGCATCCTCGATGCAGCTGCATCATACCTCCGCCAACGGCCACATCCCCACGGTACGGGCACTCGGGTCTTTTTCATCTTCGTTTCTTTCTTTTTTTTCTTTCTTTGTCTGTGCGTCTCTGTCTCTCTCGCGCGCGCTCTTTTTCTTTTCCTTGTCTATTGAGTGATGCAAACTTGGGGCTGCGAGTCGAGCGTGACTACTATAATTACGGCGCACGAGATCGACCGATCATAACCTCGACGAGCAGTCCAGTGTATGATAGTGAGGATATGAGCGTTTGCAAATGTCAGCAGGAGTGTGAGATGTTGAGGAGACGCTGACGAGATCTTGCATTTTTTTTTTTTTAAATAAAGGAAGGATAGAGTGGTTAGGTATATGGTGTGTTTTCCTGGGGATGGATATGGCTTGGTATATATTTCAATTGTTGACAGATTTTAAATTGTTAGCAATTGAAGAGTAAATTTTGAAGTTTCCAAACTGCAAACAGCGACAATTTTAATGATCTTTAAATTTTAATTGGAATTTAAACTTCAACTGATATTCAATGTTAAAAGATAGAAAAGTGGAAATATAATCAAGTTGTGTTGAACACTCATGAATATCGAGTGTTAAAATTATTTTTGTATAAAGAAATTGCAATCACTTTATATACATATATAAGAGAATAGGGATATTAAATAGATTAGAAATGCTATGCGTTTGTACCTTGATATATATTCCAACTGTTGACAGCTTTTAAATTGTGAGCGATTGAAGAGTAAATTTTGAAGTTTCCAAACTGTAAACATAGCGACAATTGTAATGATCTTTAATGTAATTTTAATTGCGACTATCACTTTATAAGGGAATGAGGATATTAAGTAAATTAGAAATGCTATGCGTTTGTGTCTTGATATATATTTCAATTGTTGACAGATTTTAAATTGTGAGCGATTGAAGAGTAAATTTTGAAGTTTTGAAACTGTAAACATAGCGACAATTCTAATGATCTTTAATGTAACTTTAATTGGAATTTAAACTTCAACTGATATTTGATGTTAAAAGTTAGAAAAGTGGATATATAATCAAGTTGAATACTTATGGATATCGAGTGTTAAAATTATTTTTGTATATAGAAATTCCAACTACCACTTCATATACTATATATAAGGGAATGGAGATATTAAATAGATTAGAAACGCTGTGCATTTTGGTATATATTCCAACTGTCGACAGCTTTTAAATTGTAAGCGATTGAAGAGTAAATTTTGAGATTTCAAAACTAAACATAGTGACAATTCTGATCTTTAATCTAATTTAAACTGCAACTGATATTTAATGTTAATAATTAGGAAAATAGATATAAAATTATGTATATAATCAAGTTGTGTTGAACACACATGAATATCGAGTGTTAAAATTATTTCTATATAAAGAAATTGCAACTATCATTTTATATACATATGTAAGGGAATGGGGATATTAAGTAGATTAGAAATGCTATACGTTTGTGTCTTGGTATACATTCCAACTGTCGACAACTTTTAAATTGTAAGTAATTGAAGAGTAAATTTTGAAGTTTCCAAACTGTAAACATAGCGACAATTTTAATGATCTTTAATGTAATTTGAATTTAAACTTCAACTGATCAAGTTGTGTTGAACACTCATGGATATCAAGTGTTAAAATTTTTTCTATATATCTATATAAAGAAATTCCAACTACCACTTTATATACATATATGTGATTTGTTATTAGGATACGGAGCAGTGCGGACAAGTTATGGCTGGTGGGGATAATATGCGAATTCAACCTGGTCAGACACATCAGATGGGAGTGAATAGAACTCAAGATGATGCCATGGTTGGTTATGTATTTCAACGACCTACGGAACCAGAATTTAATACCCAATCTTCGACTTTCCAAGCGAAACAAGCTCCAAGAGCATGGGCTTTAGCGGATGACGTTATTGTCGATGTATGTATAATAAAATATATATTTAATTTTATTAATACTTAATCATTCGATACAATTAATAATAATTGAGATTTATGCATTACTATTTTGTGTTGTTTTCAAATTTGTATACTTGTCAATGTTACATTTTTTCTCTAAAGAAACAAATTAATAAATTTTCTTAAAATATTGTTAGTAATATGATTCTTTCTAACGATAATGTGAATTATATAATTATATAATTGAAATAATTTATTCCAGAATCAAGAAAAGTGGAAATATTCTATGACTAAGCTCGGTGTACCTCAACAGAGTCAATCTCAACAACTTGGATTGACTATGAATAACGTACACCTGAGTAATGTACCATATGAAATACATCCTATGCAATTAAAAGTAAGTAATAATTGTTAACGTGTCGATTATAAAACGAAATAATCTTCTATATATTCATACAAATGTTTTATGTTTATTTTATAGAGTGGAGCACCTGGTGCGGAGCATTTGGTTTATTTGAACAATCAAATGACTCAACAACAAGTTGCACTCTTTCATCACCAACAGCAGCAACAGCAACAATTCAGAAATGGACAGGTAAGTTTTTTCATACATGATACAAGTTGCATCGAATGCTATTGGGTTTTCATGTACAGACTACAAAAATGCATCTTGCTAAAATGCTGATGCCGTAGCCAATTTTCTACTCTTGGAAAGATGACATATTTAACATACATGGGCAACATAACATGAATATTTAAAAAACTTCCTTGTTTCTCTTATCAATGTACAATAGAATTTATGAATATAATTAAAAAATTGAAATTAAAAATTTATATTTATCATGATTATAAAATTAGTGTAAAGTTATTGTAGCATCTTTTAATTAACATATGAAAATTTTTAACATATTATGTATGTTTATGTACATACATATATTTTAATTGAAAGATACGAAATATAGGATTCAACAAATTTATATTTTCATAATTGATAATATATTTTATATAATGAATTGTTTTGGATTTTTACTTAGAGTCAAAAAATAATTGGCTGCTTAACAAATGAATTCTTCTTTGTTATTTTTAATAATTTTTATTTAATAATATTTATTTCCAAAAATTTTTTAATAAAAACAAAAATATATAGAGAAGAGAAAATATAAACAGATATTGCTCAATTTCTTTTACTGCATTTTGAGCCATAGGTAATTGATATTAGCTGCACATAGCATTTTATTATTATGCTTGTCTGATCAATAAATTTCAATATTGAAGTAATCTATATAAATAAATATATACATGAATATAGTTTTATTTATTACAATCCAAATTTTCTTTTAATAGCTTTTCATTGTTATTTTGGAACAGGATTGATAGAATTTTAATCAAAAATTTAATGTTTTATATTCAATAGTTTAGTTTCTGTTGTGAAGAATTCAAGTTTGCATACGTAAAGAAAAACATGACAATAAATTGATAATAATTTTAAATATTTTTTATAAATTAAAATAATTGTTTTCTTTCAAAATGCTTGTAACTGTATTTCATGATTGATAATGGCATAAATATGCTAAAATCAATCAAAATGATTTATAAGTATTGATTAACTCTGATACTGTAGCATTTTCCAATAATCAGAAAACTATAGCAATTGTATAAAATGTCATTTTAATGATTATTATAAAATTGTTAGAAAAATATTATATTGTTATTATAAAATATAACAATATAAAAATATTATATTGTTATATATTATACAGTTATTTCGATAAGATCATAATTATTTTGATTGATGCTATAACATTTTAGAGAGTCAATACATTAAAATAATTATCTCTTAACATAACACAATAACATTATATGTTATTGTGTTATGTTACAACAATAATAATACTTTGCACAACAATAATAATACTAGAGATTTATTATTATTGTTGTAACATAACACAATAACATTATATGTTATTGTGTTATGTTACAACAATAATAATACTTTGCACAACAATAATAATGCTAGAGATGTCCATGAACAATAGAGAGAACTAGTACCTAATCTAAATATCTACTCTTCTCTTTTCTATTCGATAATGCGAGAAAAGCAAAACTGACTTGGCCTATGAATAAATTCGTCCTCGATATTCCCCCGCTGTTAAATATACCGAGCAACTCATATTTTATTCGGCGCGCCAGTATTATTTGCTCCGTGTATAAAATATAAAATCGCTAGTAGCGTCATTGTATAAAAGAAACATGCACCAACGCAATTTGGGAAATAGAAGGTTTTGTCATAGATCCTGATGAAATTAATACACTTTAAGATCAACTACTGGCGTTGATGTACAAAAATTTATATTTTAATATAATAATTAATTTTTTTATAATAATTAATTTTTTATTTACTTTGTTTGCAATATATTAATAGAGAATTAATTAATAATGCATTATTATTTAAATCATAATTATCAATTTTTTTGAATATGTTAATAAATTCGTTTGACTTTTCTGCAATTTTCTGTAAAAGTACTTAAAATTTGCATGTTTATATTTGCGTATAAATGAAATAAAATTTAACTTAAATAAAAATTAACTTAAATATTAATATATTGCGAAATATAAATATTATAACATTATTTAATTTCATATTTAGTATATAATGTTACTCTATTATTACTTAAAATATCAAATTTTAAAGCTAATATCCATAATAGTTTCCTACGATTAAAATAGTAAATTATTAAATGAATAGATTCCAAGTATAGAAAATTATATATATATAAAATACATGATTCAGTTTGATTAAACATTTACATGAATGTTTAAATGACGATTTAAAAATGAAAGAAGTATTATAATTTTAAAAGTATGATTAATTTTGTTAGTTATATACATTCTTTTATAAATAATCGATACACACACTTAATCCACTTAAAAGTATGAAAAGAAAATACACTTACAATACAATTTTTCATTTCTTTTTATTTGCACAATATATTCCTCAAATATAATTTACAAAATATATAAAACTTGCTCCTACAAAAGTGTAAAAAAATCAATTTTATACTTTATTTTAAGATTATTTTGAATTTTTTTTGAAAGATAAAATTTCAAAATTTTAATATTTCAAAATTGGTTTATTATTTCGTATTTAATCTGAAGTTTATATGCTATGATATGCAAGATACATTACACGTGTCATCGCATTTAATTGCTAATAATTTTTTACAATTATTTTGTATAATGTATCAGTTCCATGTATCAGTTTTGCAACAAAAAAAAAAGGTTAAATTTGTTCTTCGTACACGCATAAATATTAAAACTATAAAAAAAATATACTTGCAATACAATTTTTTATTTCTTTTTATTTGCACAATATATTCTTTAAATACAATTTACAAAATATATAAAACTTGATCCTACAAAAGTATCAAAAAATCAATTTCATATTTTATTTTAAAATTATTTTGAACTTTTTTTTGAAATATAAAAATTGAAAATATTATTTGCTAATTTAATTGCTAATAATTATTTTCGATATTTTGTATAATGTATCAGTTCCATGTATTAGTTTTGCAATAAAAAAAAACGTTAGATTTGTTCTTCGTACACGCCTAAATATTAAAACTATGAAAAGAAAATACACAATACAATTTTTTTTTTGTATTTACACTATATATCTTTAAAAATGATTTACAAAATATACTAAACTTGGTTTTACGAAAGTATCAAAAAATCAATTTCATACTTTATTTTAAGATTATTTTGAATGTTTTTTTTAAGATAAAAATTCAAAATTTTAATATTTCAAAATTAGTTTATTATTTCGTATTTAATTTGAAGTTTACATGCTATGATATGTAAGATACATTACACATGTCATCGCATTTAATTGCTAATAATTATTTTCGATATTTTGTATAATGTATGTTCCATGTAGTCCATCAGTCATCACAAAAGAAAACATTAGATTTGTTCTTCGTACACGCATAAATATTAAAACTATAAAAAAATATACTTGCAATACAATTTTTTATTTCTTTTTATTTGCACAATATATTCTTTAAATACAATTTACAAAATAAATAAAACTTGGTCCTCTACAAAAGTGTAAAAAAATCAATTTTATATTTTATTTTAAGATTATTTTGAATTTTTTTTGAAATAAAACAAAAATTCAAAATTTTTAATATTTCAAAATGGTTTTCGCATTTAATCTGGGAGTTCACAGGCTATGATATGTAAGACACATTACACGTGTCATCGTAATCATTTAATTGCTAAGAACTCTTCGATATTTCGTAATATAAATAATGTCTCACTTCCATATATCAATTTTGCAACAAAAAAAAAACCTTAGATCTGTATACGTATCGCAAAACGTACGAGGGAAATCGTAGCCGCGCGAGGCGGCGGCGGCGCTGGCGGCGGGTTCCCGGAACGGCCGCCAGGGGCGCTCCGTTCGAGAGCGTCGTTCTTTGTTTCGGTTTGGAGCGCAGTCTCCGTCTGACGAAGCGCAGAGCCCGGTTGACGAAAATTCGAGCGCGCGGCAACGAGAGGAGAGAGAGAGACGGGACGAACGAGAATCGAATCAGAGACGCCTATCACGAGCCTCTCCCGGGTTGACGAGCGCGTTGACTCCTCGCCGGTATGTCCGGCCGAGCGATCGCTTTGAACCGCGAGAGCAAAATCGAATCTGACCGACTCGCTCCCTCTGTAAATAAGCGCCGCGAGTGAGTGTGCAAAGTGTGCGCGTCGAGAGGAAGGGGGAAGGTATACGAGCCAGAGGAGAGGATTAAAGGCAGCTTCGGGGAAGGAGGGGGGACGGTATCGGAAGTGTTTGACAGGAGGCCGACGCTCTCTCTCTCTCTCTAGTGTACCGGGTGTCATGTGCGTACCGCTGACACTGTAACTCTCTCTCTCCGCGCGATTTGCATTGTTTGGTTCTCGCGCACGACAGGGGGAGAGAGACAAAAAAAAAGGAGCGAGAAGAGGGGAGATCCGTCATCGAAGATCGAAGAGACGAGGACGCTCGACGCTCTCGGGGGTGGATCCTTACGCTTCCGTTCGTGCGGTGTCGCCGATCGCCGCCGCCTTCAGTTCGCTCGGCGCGCCGCGACGGGGGTTGCCGACATCGCCGCCGTCTCCCCATCGATTGCCGGCCGCCGATCCGCCGGTTGCAACAGTGGGGAGGAGAAGGGGGAAAGAGTGCGGCCGCGTGTCACTGTTTTCGAGTCCCTCCCGCTGCGCGTTGCCGTCAGCGACCTACCACGGGGTTAACGGTGAATCTTTCGGAGGTGACGCACCGCGCCGACGACGCCGTCGCCGTCGCGACCTTGGAGACAGTGGAGAGTTTCGGAATCGGTTACGGTCAGGGAGCGGGCGCGAGCGCGGGCGACTGGATGAAACCGCCGGGGGATCTGTTTCTCTACTCCACGCTCGACATGAAGGACCTGACGGGAGCCGTGGGAGACATGGTACTGTTTATGCTTGTTGTTTATTCGCCGCCGGGTATCGCGGGCGCGAATTCGATCGCCTCGAAACCGCGCCCGCCTCGTTCCGGGCCGCGTCGTGGCGTCGTGTCGCCTGTTCCTAGCCTAG